GAACTAGTTAGATGGATTATCATTCATGCTATATTTATTTTTGTGTGAAAGTTAGGTGCTCCAGATTTAATAATGTGTTTTGTGTTTCATTCTATGATTATTAACTTGTTTATACTTTGGTGTCTCGAGCTTGTATGCCGCTTATTAGGAAGAAGTGACTGGGGATCCATCATTTCCAGCTAATTGATACTTTGATTGAGCAGATCTAATTAGCTGTTTTCTGTATGCCTCTTTTATCAACTCTACACTGCTGTCAGCTACATTTGTGTGAGTGTGTGTCACCTGTAGTGTCGATTTGGACATAAGCTAACTGTAGCCAATTTCCTTACATGGGTATAAGGAAATTGGCTACACAAGCTTTGCACCGTAGCAGGGGCAGATCATGGATGGAGCAGTACCCATGGAGTACTCCTTGCAAATGTCAAAGCATCTGATTTATCAATACTTAAATGGCTCAAATCTGGATTTACTAAGACAATATCAAAATACAAGCACCAGGATCATAGAAAGGGCTAAACCAGGATTTTTTCAGCCCAAAATGGTGAGAGTGACACAAATGGTTGCAGAACTAGAGTTTACTTTGCAGTATAAGTGAATAGGAATCAGAGCGAGTGGGAGCAAAACTGTGTCCATGAGCACTTCCCTATTGGGCTTTGTTGAGCTAGAACGTTAGCATTGTCTATCTATATTGAGTCTGTGATTCCAGACAAATGGGACGCAAAATATTTTCCAGAAAAATACCGGTTTCACTTCAGAATGTTCCAACAAATTAAAGGGTTATAATGGCAAGGCAAGGCAAGTTTATTTGTAAAGCACAGTCCATACTCAAGGCAAGTCAAAGGGAAAAGGGCTAATTCTGCGGCGTAAGCTAACACCATGCAAATGTTATGAGTTTACAAACAAAACCTCTTGGATCTACTTTGTCAGATAATTTGTTTAGAAATGTTTCAATTGAACTCATATGTGAAGTGGCAGCGCCTCCATCCTCTCCTGTTCACCAGTGGGAACATTTGATGCTTTCAGGGCATTTTTTGGTCTGGAATGCAGCAATAGACATAGTTTAACGAGATAATTGATATTTTTATCCGGCGCTGAAGTTGCCACGTCAACACTTACGAGCAGAGTAATTAATCACTGCACACTCCTTATGCTTATTTTCCATATCTAAAATCGTCCTGACCTCAACCTTTGTGATGTGCACTCAGGGACAGAAATAACACACTCCTTCATTGTTTTGGCTCCAAGCATCTGCTCAAACTCATATACAGTTTTCAATTAAGTATCTGGTGAGCGGCTTTTAGTGAAAAATTAAAGGATGCATAAAAGAGCAATGCCGTGAAGAAGGAACTGCCTGATTTTGATGTCAATTATTCCTTTGACTATAGACTCATTTTAGTTTGTGTTGTTCTGGTATATGAAATTCATGTTTAATGAGTTTGGCAGTAATTTCCCCATTGTGTTTGTCTGGTTTGATGCTCTGTGAGTGAATAGGACTGAACAGAACAGTTTCTTTGGGAGCTCGGATGTGGTACATTAAAACGTGTCGGATTAATTCTTTGTTCTGTTTTACAATTATGAAAATGAATTGAATTGACACTATAAGACCTAACAGCTGGTTGTTGTGTCTTGAAAAAGCAAAAATCAGTGAACAAATCATACAACAACACGGTCATTTAGTTAGAAAATATATTATTTTATTTGGACAGTCACTATTTGACGGCTGTGAACTTGTTAGCTAAACACTTTTTCACTTTTCTGCCTGAAAAAAGTTGATCTGAAACTATGCTAGAGGTCCATAGATTAGATAAAACCAGACAATGGATTTTATTCCATGGACATAGGTATGCCAGCATTTTAGTTTAGTTTTACTTGAAAGGTCCTATTATATTCAAAGAAGAAATTTCTAGTAAAATAAGATAAGATAATAAGATAGACTTTATTGATCTCACACTGGAGAAATTTACATGTCGTATTTGGCATTGATAGAATCACTCAGATTGTGCAAAAGACAGAAGTGTGCAACATGTTAAAGCTAAAAAATATAGTCTGTGCAGGATTTATTTATGTACAATAAAAAAGTGGCAATAAAAGAAAGAGTGGCAATAGCAATGCAGGGTTTTTTCTTTTTTAGTAACATTCAAACTCTCCACACTGTTGCTTTCCATCGTGGCTGCATGGGGAAGTTAGTGCTCATTGTTGCCATAGTGAGAAGGAGAGGGAGAGGGTCGTTGAGAGTGTCATTGCGTCTGGATGTAATTGAGTTGTCACAGTAACCAGCGCGTTGAAAGGAAAGAAGTCCTATTTCTGAACTCCAAACACTGCTGATTTTAGTTATTGTTCCATTTGTCTTCACTTATTCCGTCCTTCAATTTGGTAAAGCCTTTTTTCCTCCCCATTTCTAAGTTTTGTTAAACAATAAATACAAGAAAGATGGTAGAAGACTTGTTTGTTTTTTAATAGGTCAAAATAGTTCATGTGCTGCATCTGTAGTCAATGCCTACCTAATCCCTCTTCTTTTTTGTTACTGTTATCAGTAAAAACAGGACATTGACCGGTGACATTAAGCAAGAAAGATTATATACATCATATTTAGCCAATAAAACCAGAATGAGACTTTTTACTTTTTTACTAATTTTATGTGTTCGGTTAAAATGTGAAAAAATAACAGTATCAAAGGTCCTTTGTGTGTATGTATCAAAATGCTTTCCACATGTAACTCCCTGTGCTACCACCAGAGGGAGAGGTTGAACTAGTTCTGTTAATTTAATATTTGAAAATCACCAGCTGCAAACACAGTCATGTGATTGTAAAGATTGTAATTTCACTAATTTAATTGCAATACTTTCACGAGGTACTAAACTTTGCATGATGTAAAAGGGTTACAATTTAATCATCCTACAGAACAGAGACAGAAGGATGGAGTTACATATTTGCCAGAAGTTCCCGATATTAGCATGGATCAATCTAAAAACAACTCCAGGTCTTTTTTTTGAGAGGACACTATTGTAACATGGTTAAAAGTTGCATAATATGTGTTATGTATAGCTTGGTCGCTTTAAACCGCTCCAACCATTTTCCACAGTTTTTCTTGGAAATGAGGCATGTATTGTTTTACTGGCAGTGGTAGCAGTGTGACAAATATTTACTCAATCAAGACCCAATGAGAACTAAATCCAAAAATATGAAGTGCTTTTCTTTCCAACTTTGTTCTGTGCAGCATTGTCGCATCACTGTCAATTCTCTGGAGCACTTGCATCTCCTCGTGTATCCCTCGTCTTCAGAGTTTTTCTTTAGCACAAAACACATGAAGACGTCTGCAAAGATAGAACTGACAGGCCCTCAGCTCCGATGTGAACAAACAATACAGGAATAGAAAGTGGAGGAGGGAGTGGGATTACGAGTTTGCCCACATTGTGTTTGTATGTTTGGAACGGTTCATGACTCCCACACATGAGAAAGCAGATGAGAAGGCAGTTTTGAATTGTATTAGGAAATGCAATATCACATTTTAGACATGAGATCTGTGTGAAATGTGACAGAAGGAAATGTTGACCCATTCATGTACCATCTGCAGTTTATCTTTCCAACTTGGAGACTTTCCTTCCCAAATTGCAAAAGTTGATCCAATATTTGAAACAGGAGATAAATACTGTAGCTCCCTTCTACCACAATTTTCCAAAATACTTGAACAATTATTTATAGTTTAATTAACATTCGTTGTCTGATAGTCGGTATGAATTTAGACCAAACTTGTGGGGTACCGCAAGGATCAACTCTGGGACCCACATTTTTCCTTCTTCCAGATAAATACTGGACTTACTTTATTCTGGTAACCATCAGTAGCAGATACAAATAAAACAGACAAGAAATAGTAATATCTTATAATATTAGTTAGATTAACCCCCTTAAACAGTGTTCATCTGTCGACACAAGCTTGCATACAGCGACCAGAGTGGTTGCTCTCTTGGAATCATGGGGTACAGGTATCCTCAAACAGACCAACCAGTAAAGGTGGAGCTCTGGTAAAAAAAAATCATTGTCTTTTTTTTGAGAAAATTTTAAACTTTAGAAATGTTTTATTATGCGTTATTTTATCTCTACTTTTGACTTGTTTGCACTGAGAGCTAAGGAAATGTCCTCTTATGTGACATCCTGTTACTTACTTACATGATTCTGATTCTGATAAGTCCTGATCTCCCTGATTACACTGTAATATGTTCAGGTGATGACTTGGACATGGTTTTGGAATGTTTGTGGCAATTCACAAATTATAAAAGTGATATAATAATAATAATACATTCTCACTAAGGACTTAAGAAATTTGGTTTGAAACTACACTACCTTTACAAAGACCCATACACAACCATTTAAACCTTTTTATCTGTGATAATACCTGATTGTGAGAGTATGGCACTGCGGTGAGTATTTGCAGTTCACTGTATTTCTGTCGCACTCGAAGCCAAATGTAGAACTAAAAGCCTGTGTTATCATGTGTTGTTCTGGTGAGCGGGACAAAGAATCCCCTCTTCTGGGAGAGAGTCCAGTGAGACAGTGTTTGAGTCTGTCCCGCCGGGAGGAGGCTACAGCATCATGCATTCTGATCCCACTGAGGGACAGGCACTCTCTGAGGACGCCTCACACACTGCTGTCTCGCTGTTGTCTTTTGTTGAAGGCGCCGTGTGTTTTGGGACTTGAGCATTTCCGCTGTGCTTCAGGAAACCTCTGCAGTCGCTGATCAGAGGCGCCTGGTGTGTAGTTGTCTCGTGATAGGCTTTTGTGTTCTGTATTATTTTATTATATATTTTCAGTTTTGCAGTTATGTTGTCTTTCATTTAAACATAATGTTCTTGTTATTTTTGCGTTCACATAATTGGCCCAGATGATTGCACAAACAAAAAAATGTTCAGTTCAACAAGGAAACACATTTATGAATGGTTTTGTTCACATTTTAAAGTGTGAAGTGTTGTTGTTGACTTCCTGCTTCTCTTGCTGCAGCAGCCATGGCAACAGAGGTCGTAGACATGCGTTTAGAGGCTCCGCAGTCCAAGGGCCCAGGTAAAACATGAGAGCTTTTGCAGTGAGCGTCGGGGCTTCGGTTTGAGCTCTGTCTCTGCATGGTGTGTGCTTATTTGTGTGGACTTTGGAGTGCTGTGTTCTTCTCTTTCAACGTGTTTCAGTGATACATTTTCCTTCTTTAGCATTGTCAGTGTTTTCAGAATAGAGTTCAGGATTATCACTTTAAATTAGGGAAAAATAATATCCTTCAATATAATCTGGAATACAATGTGATAGACAAACTGTATTTATCAGTGAACTAATGTCTTATTTTGTTATTCCACATTTCTTTTCTTTACATATCAAATATATACTATATTTACATTATTGTTGTGTGTTGTGACATTTTCCACCCTGGTACACAAACATGACAGGTTTTTCTAAGGTTGTCAATTAATATTACACTAACAACGGGATTCCCAGGGTTCTGAAACTAGAACTACCAGAGCCGTCCTTTTGACTGTTCCCATTCAAACCAATGACATTTTGGAAAATTCCCCCCATGAATGTTTAGTTTTTCACCTAATTTATTAAAGTGGTATAACTGGTTAATATAACTTCAAATACAGCAAAAGTTTGTTGAAAGGCTTAATCCAACTGTGTGTTGCTATGGTAACTAGCACTTTCTTTTCTCTGGTGGAAAACCTGAACCAGAGCCATTTCAGAACCAGTCCAGGACCAGAAACTTGAAAAATGTCTTTTACTGACATCGAATGTTGGTTACCAAGCGACCAAACAATTGCTACATATGAATTTTACATTCAATAAAAAAAATTAAAAATGGAAAAAGTAGATACTTTATAAACTTTATGTAAACCACGTATTAAAAAATCACAACGTTATGAAGACCAACAATGTATAACGGCTGAGTAAAAGCCGTCAAATTGACTGATCTGGTGTTCAAGTGATTGTCTGCAGTTTGTCAGAAAGAGAGACAGAGAGGTACTTGATTTGAAAAGAACGACGCAAGCTCCCTCCCCCTTCCTTTCTGATTGGTCTACACCTACGTTTCCGCAACACTTTTAAATGTTAATGAGAGAACACATTATACATATACATTATTAATACACATGCACGGAAGTTTTCAGAATTATTTGTTAACGTTTTCATGAAAAAAATAATGTTTTTATGCACAAAAAAAGCGATTGCGGCAAAACCGGAAAAAACTATCATCATGATTGCACATTATAGGACACATCTGCAGAGGATCTGATGATGGATATAGGCTCAGTATATACATCAGTAACTCAGCGCGGATGTTCAGAATTCTTTGTTCAGTTTTCATGTAGTTTAGAGCCTAATGGAGGCTTAATCCGGAGGCTCCGCAAAAACAAACAACTGAGCATGCGCGCAGCTACGAGCATCAGCGCTGGTGATTGACAGCCCTTGGCAGGACTCGATTGGTTAACGTGGATAGCATCGTGGATTCTGAGCTATAGCTAAGAGAAGGGAAGGCAGGACTTATCTGTAATATTAGAATTAATAAAATGGCTTATTTTATATCAATATTTAAGACCATGAGGACAATTCTTAAAATTTGTAATTCATTTAGAGTTACAGACTATCACTTTAAAGCACAGATGAGATGAGCTCCACCAGAACAACAATCTACTGACATACATTTGATTTACTTTGTATATTTGTATTAATCCAATTCTTTTTTCAAGAGGCTTTTAGTTTGCAGTGCTTCTTGATGCAGTGTTTAGGTTGGTATGAGCGTGATTTTAGATTGACTTCTTAAGTGATCCATCTGCTGGAAAAGCTTTGATGTGTTCCATTCTGCGGCATCTTTATTCAATCCAAGTGTGATCTTTGCACACACCACATGTTGAGGTCACCGTTTCACATGATAACAGCAGGTTTTCTGCAGTCCAGCTCTGGGTGCAGTAGACGGAGCAGCAGACGCAGTAGTTAAAACGGAGTGATGTGCCATGGCTCAAAAAGTGCCCTGTCCTGTTTCATGCATGAGTGTGTGAGAGCGCCCAGAGCAAAGCATTATGGGATTGTACAAGTGCAGACAGGACGAGTCTGTGGAGGGAGCATCACTGGAACATCACATTCGGTCACCATAAGCTTGACATCAAAGTTAATAATGATTTAAAATGGTAAGAACAACAATAATGCATTATCTGTATTCAATATGGCCCTTGCACATTATACTGAGATAGATAGGTAGATTGAAAGACAGATAGATAGAAAGAAAGAAACTTTATTGATCCCGTAGGAGAAATTCAGGTGTCCAGTAGCAGCAAAAATAAAAAATAAAATTGATCATTCTAAAAAGTTAAAAATAGTAATAATCAGCAGCAGCCCTTCAGGTCACAGCAGAAGAGGTGGTGTAGCCCCTGGATGGAGCAGGACGGGTCACAGCAGCAGAGGTGGAGTAGCCTCTGGGTGGAGTAGGACAGGTCACAGTAGCAGAGGTGGTGTAGCCCCTGGGTGGAGCAGGACGGGTCACAGCAGCAGAGGTGGAGTAGCCTCTGGGTGGAGTAGGACAGGTCACCAGGTGGAGTAGCCGCTTGGTTCGGACCATTATCTCTGCTCTAGTCCAAAGTTAAAATGCTAAATCCTTAATTAGTATTTTTCAAAAAGTTAGCATTCCTCCAATGGATTTTCCCTGCCACTGTAAACCCTGTCAAGTAAAGTTTACTTGAAAAAACCTTGGAAATAAATTGCGTATTAACTTCACTTGAATTCCTCGAGTACATCCTTTACTTGATATTACCAAGTAACTCAAGTGATTGCAATTAAGTTTAAATATCAAATTTTACTCCGACCGGGATTCGTAGTCGACAGGCAATGGTGCTATCCACTCAGCCACCAGGCCACCCTGCCATTGAGAAACCTGCTTTATTAAAGAATCTAAAAGTCAAAATAATCAGAGTCCTTGTAGAGTCCTCCACGTAGGCCATATTGCTATCTAATACTAACACTCACCCCTTTGATCACATAATCACATGTGATCACTCAATTTGATCAATCAATAAAATGAAAAAAAAATAAAAAACTTAAAAAAAATATTAAAAAAACAAAGAAAATGTATGCATTAAACTCATAATCATCTAAATCAATATCAGTGGATTTTATCCTCTATCCTGGAAAAAAACAAAAAACAAAAAGTAAATAAATAAACAAAAAACAAAAATAAACAAAAATAAAAACAAACACTATTGGACACACAAGAACTCCGCAGATTCAGTCAAAACACAGACAAAAACGAGCTGAGTGTGATCCGCTTGGTTTGGACCATGAATCCTCTCCTCTCCGGTCTGGACCAGTGCAAAACTATGAACACTGTACTGCATCTCAGGTAGAAAAAAGCAATAAACATAAAAATTATAAAGCACAAAACAACAACTGTTTCAGAGTACTTAGGACTTGCAGCCGTTTTCCAGCGCATTCAAAAGATGATTTACTTAAATTTAGATTTTCAGATTATTTCTTGACATTTTTTACGTTGTATTTTTCTTTTTGAGACAAACATTATATTTTTAAGTTCTATTGAATCAGATAGCACGATAAACTAGTTGAATAAACAGCATTGGATTTAATTTAGCATGTTTTGAAATTATCACAATATTAAATTGTTTACATCAGTGACAATACATTTGAATAATGAACCGACTCTCGCAAAGGAGCAGAATCAGAATTCACTCAGCATTATTAGAAGTTAATATAGAGAAAATATCAGAACCTCATTAACCTCAATGCTGTGTATGCCATAGTCCGCGGAGGCTATGGAGAGACTTGTACCCAAGCAGAGCTGCTCTGAGCCAGTGCAGAGACCTAAGACCAGGACTTTATGGTACTTCCTGGTTCTAGTGAGGACTCAAGATGTAGCACTATATAGTTGTTTTATTCAGCTCATTTGGTGAACATAGTTAGTCTAGTCTAGTGCCTCTCTGGCCGTCTTACCCACGCCAGAGAAATACAACGAGACGTATGGATCAGTGGGGGCGGGTCCCGGCTCAAAAGTGGCCAAAATGACGTGCGCTGACATGCTTGCAATACCACCCCGGGCTGTTGGGGATGGACCCAGAAGAAGAATTAGCCAATGCTAACATATAGTGTTGGCAGACCTCTCAAAAACGTCTTTACAGGATGGACCAAAAATTGGCTCTTGGCCCAAAGCTCCGTTCCACATGTGTGTCAATGCTGAGAGGGGTGAATTTTTTTGGTCCACTCTATTTTACTCGCGGTGAATTTTTGAAGTCTCTCGTTCAAATGAATGGAGCTGCACCGGTTGACGCATGCGCAGATGCGTTTTTCACAATTTTCTTGTGGGCGGGACCACTCACGGCCATCTTGGATTGCTCCATGAAAGCACTTTTCATGGCCAACTCCTATGAACGGCGGAGATAGGCGTGACTCTGTCCGTTATTATATACAGTCTGGTATGGATGCATGGATGGTAAAACGCTGCTAATGTCACTGATTGGATTTGTCCCTGTCCCTTATTTATCAAGAAATTGTACATGAATATACTGAAAATATATATAACAATCAGTGCATTTGGGACAATAATAATTAATTATCAAAAAGCACTTGTCCTCTGTTGATTATATAAGGAAGAGCCATGTGAACTTCAGTGTTTATGTTATAACCCAAAATATCTTCCGTCCCTCAGAGAGCAGCTTCTCTGTGAGTTCATTGTCCCATCTCTCATGATGCTGTGCGGGGTTAGCAGTGAAATCCCACACCAGTTTCTACTTTTAGCCGTAAAGGGATCTGAGCAGAAGACGTCTGGTGTAGTGTGGCCTTGTAACCTCACCCACTGCACTCTGTGGGCCGTGCAACCAACCAGGAAGTCACCTACTCACCAACAACGGCTATTAAAGCTGTAATGCGTACACTTGAGGATTGCGTAAGGGCAATAAACACATGGACGTTTGCACACTGTTACTGGGAGACAGTGCACCAAATCACAGCCACATAGAGATATTCAAAAGTCTATTTAAAAAAAGACAGTTTGAGCCATGATAAATAAAATCTTGTATTACTTTCTCAGTTGCTCAAGTAGTTTAATCAAGCATCATTCAAGCTGCTTGTTTTACCACTAATGGTACAAACCCACTTTGTAAAAGCATAAAACTGTAATCTATTCCTATGTTTTTGCTATCTGCATCATGCTATGTTTTGTAGAGATTATGGAACAGGCACAAAGCAATTTAGAATGTTCAAAATGTAACAAAAATGTATGACTGATGACTGGTACTGAAAAAATAAAAAATGAAACAATAATTATGTAGATGCAGGTCAGAGGGTTCCATGTTCCATCTAGTCCTCATCTACTCCTTTTATTAAATCAAACCATTATATTTTTGTACAAACAGGTTTGACTTGTCAATAGCAAATTACATGAAACAATCATGCAAACTAAAGATCTTTACAAGTATTGTGTTTTCGGGATCAGATTGGGACCAAATCCATTGCTTAATTTATACTTCAGTTTTGCTTCTCTGCTCTGGATTTGGATTTGTGTTTTCATTAATTGTTGACTTGTGATGTGAAACCAAAAAAGTGACGTAGAATAATATACACTTTGGTGGTTTTACATCCACCTGTTTTACCCTCTTGTGCACAGACCCCCCGTTGGGAAACACTGGGTTGAAGTGTACCAAGTGTAACCAAGTGTACACCCATTTTCTCGTTCTATAGTCCTGGATCTACAGTCTGTCCCTGATCCAGGACATTTAGGCACGGTGGCTGAGTGGATAGCACTCTCGCCTCTCAGCAAGAAGGTCTGCGTAGGTTTCTTCCGGGTGCTCCGGTTTCCCCTACCACTAAAAATATGTACAATAGGTCTGGCATGCGCCTCCTGTACTGGCACCGCCACTCCCAAAAATAACAATTGTAAACCGCTTTGAGACTCCGATGTGCAGTGAAAAGGCGGTATATAAGTAAAAATTACCTACTACTACTTACTTAGGAACATTGGTCGTCCCGCTAGGAGACACTGTCTCCTATTTATTTGTTTTTATTGTATTTCCTGTTTCAAACCGTTTCATTCTCATCTGTTGTTAAGGAATCAACAAGAGATATCTAGCACTAGAAAATGTAGTGCTATACAAAAGTAAATGTAATTGAATTGAATTGTTTTTAAGCTTTTTCAAAATGACTGCATGGGCAAATTATGAGGTGCAAATAATGTTATTAAATAATGTCCCAAAAATAACTATTAAATTACTTTCTCTATATATATCTGGTATTACACTACTTTGTTTTTTCTTTTACCAAGTAATATTGCAATGTTTATATTCCCTATTTCCTGAGTGTGATTTCATCTGAAGACGAGTCAACATTCTCATCCCATGCGTTGCTTCAAACCCACTTCCCCTGATTCCTCTACTTCCTCCTCCACATCACATGGCATTGTTTTTAAGCCCAGTGGATAAAGATAGATTGGCAGTTTTTTTTATTGCCATGTGTTTTGTGTCGTCCGCAGAGAGAAGGCGACAGGGCAAATTCCAGCCCTTCAAACGCCTCTTTGGGAAGAAGAAAAAGAAAGAGTCCAAAGCCGGGTTTGATGGCGCTGACCTCAAGTCCAGCTCCTCCACTGGGGAGGTGTGCAACGGAGTAGTGTCCGAAGATGAAGACGCCGCTCTGCATTTGAGGTAAAATCAGCCTCGATCAGACAAATACTTACAAAGCTTTTGTCATTGTGTAATAAAGACATAAAGTTAGGCTGGATTATGCTCTTGTTGCAGTGATAACAGAACTGGGTTAAATTATGATCGATATATGTTGCTTAAACGCTCCTGGAAATGTACGATTTAGAGGAGATCCCACAATGTCCCTCAGTGGGGAAATTCCAGTGTTGTATCGCAGGTTACAGTCGTAATGAAGAGCACATGAACACAAGATAAAATTAAAATAATAACTATAGCGTATTAGAATTATGTATTCTAAAACATGAAATAAGTAAGTTATCAATTGTAATGGCCAAACGTGTGTATTATTTGTTACTATAAAAACACACACAGTAAACGGTCAATTGATATGAATGTGTATTTTTGTCACCACCTGTCTATTGTTCTTAAAAGTCGATATCAAGTATACTTCCAAAATGTGCCCTATTTTTAGTGTGTTTTTGTTCATCTTAAGCTTCCCTTTGTTCTATTTTAGAGCTTTGCATAATTAGATATAACAGTCCATTATCCTGAGTGTCAGTTCACATTATATTTACTGCATAAAGATGCTTTGGTTATTGTGTATCTATACAGAATAAAGTTAAACAATGCATATAAGTTTGGATTAGTCCACCACGTGTGCTGGCATAGTGCCCAACATGACGTCCGTAATAGATAAGAAACAAAGGAAGGGGCTCACCCATCATCTGTACTTCAGTTAGCAGGTTTCCCGGCGTTTCGTTCTTATCCAAAGAACTTGTTCAAGGGAAAATAGATATAATAGATATAATAGATTTCTATAGTAGATAGATAGAGACTTTATTGATCCCCTGTAGGAGAAATTGAGGTGTCCAGTAGCAGCAGAAACACATGCATTCATACAAACAAAACAAATAAAAAGATCATTCTAAAATTAGCAAACAATAGTATTAAAATGCTCCAGCACTTTAGGTCACAGCAGCAGAGATGGTGTAGCCTCGAGGTGGAGCAGGACGGGACACAGTAAACTCTGTTATCACACGATCTGCTGAGTAATACAGAGGCTGTTCTTAAAAGGCTTTACAATGTAATTGATGTAGTAAAAGTGGTGCTGTGTAGAGAGTCCAATCAATTCTACTGTGGAGACAGAATAAGCAAGCCACCCTTCAAAATGTAAGAGCAGTGGCAGTTATTGGCTGAACAATGTCACGTTTTGCCTTTTATTTTCATTTGCATTTGTTTTCTTTCAGGGAGGTGAACTCTGTTGGAGCTCGAGCGCTCTCACACGACAGCATCTTTATCCCAGAACCCACATCCACACAGGAGGACGCCCACGGAGAGCTCACCATGTCCCATGAAAACGTCTCCGATAAAGTCAGGAATCTGCAGGTGAGTTCATACATGACATTTCCTCCAACTGTGGGACAAATAAAGCATCTCTTTGTATCTGCATTTACTCCAAGTGTGCTGCACAGGCTAAAACAGGCTAAAACCGGCTAGAAATCACTAATTAAACATTAATTAATATACAATTAATGTCAGAGGCATAATAATGATTATTTTAGCAGGTTCAGATACTGCATTTTTTCATGTTTTTATTGTTTTATATTTTTAAAGTCGTAGGCATGTTGGCTTCATTCCATAATCTTAGCTTATTTATAATCACTTCCTTATTCCCTAAAAATCATACTGAACCAGGAAGAAGAATGTATCTAATCTCACATACATACAGAAGGTCACATAATAAAGATTATTCTTGTAGTTTATTATTGCCTGCCTTTTACTTTATCTGTATGTCATATTCATTCCCAGCTGTTTTTATTGATATTGGTATTAGGGAACAACAGCATTCTCCCTTTTCTCTATTTACTATATAATAAAAATTCATCTAACATGTTCCTTTTTGAGACAAAAAACTTAAACAGAGAGAACTAGCCTTACCCTTAAGTATTTTTAAAGATATTATTAAAGATAACAGAAATGTAGGTAGTGGTTCACGTTAAATGTATTGTATGTTTTTACAGAGGCAGATTGCATCCAATATTAAGTTTGGACAGAAGCTGCCGTCTATGCGCAGAAGTGAAGGGGATGAAGGCAGTACTGATGACGATGAGGCTCCCAGGAGCCCCATGAAGGTCCAGGTCCAGGCTCAAGTCCAGACTCAGGTCCAGACTCAGGCGTATACCCCAGACGAAGCTGAGCTGCTAAAACCAGAGTCTGACGTGAGTTAGAAGTTTGTAAGGCCATATTTTTGGCTTTTTAACTGAGACTATGAATGATAACTTTTTTCACTTAATTTTACTGATTTTATTAAGTGTTCTATTTTCAAATTATAATGACAGAAACTAACCAATCACCCTGATTAAAAGTGTTCATGCCCCAGTTCTCAACACTGTGTAACTATTATAAATATTTATTTGTATAGCAGTTTTCAAAACAGTGTTTACAAAGCGCTGCAAAGTCTCTCCCTTGGAACGGTCAACAGGGACCTGGGTTAAAAAGTTCAGTAATGTAGCTAGTATTTCCTCTTGTATTTCCCCTTCTATGTCCTGCCATGTCCCGGCCTGCTTCAAATCCTCCATCATTGTCCCCGTCCCGAAGAAGCCCAGGATCACAGGACTCAATGACTACAGACCTGTAGCACTTACGTCTGTCGTCATGAAGTCATTTGAACGCCTGGTTCTCTCCCATCTCAAGTCCCTCACCTCCCCCCTCCTGGACCCCCTGCAGTTCGCCTACAGAGCCAACAGATCTGTAGACGACGCCATTAACCTGGCCCTCCACCACATCCTACAGCACCTGGACTCCCCGGGGACCTACGCCAGGGTCCTGTTCGTGGACTTCAGCTCTGCCTTCAACACAATCCTGCCATCCCTGCTCCAGGACAAGCTCTCCCAGCTCAACGTGCCCGATTCCACCTGCAGGTGGATCACTGACTTCCTGACGGACAGGAAGCAGCGAGTGCGTCTGGGGAAGAATGTCTCGGACTCTCGGATTATAAATACAGGAGCCCCACAGGGCTGTGTTCTTTCTCCCCTGCTCCTCTCCCTGTACACCAACCACTGCCCCTCCAGCCACGACTCTGTGAAGCTGATCAAGTTCGCGGACGACACCACCCTCATTGGACTCATCTCCAACAACGATGAGTCCGCCTACAGGAGGGAGGTGGACCGGCTGGTGTCCTGGTGCAGTGGTAACAACCTGGAGCTGAACGCCCAGAAGACAGTGGAGATGATTGTGGACTTCAGGAAGAGCACTGTCCCCCCGCCCCCACCCTCCGTGATGGACTCCCCCATCACCTCTGTGGAGTCCTTCCGTTTCCTGGGCACCACCATCACCCAGGACCTCAAGTGGGAGCCGACCATCAGCTCCCTCATCAAGAAGGCCCAGCAGAGGATGTACTTCCTGCGGCAGCTCAGGAAAGCCAAGCTGCCTGCACAGATGTTGGTGCAGTTCTACACGGCCATCATCGAGTCCATCCTCACCTCCTCCGTCACCGTGTGGTTCGCTGGAGCCACAGTCAGGGACAAACAGAGACTACAGCGCATTGTGCGCTCTGCAGAGGAAGTGATCGGCCGCAGCCTTCCATCGCTGCAGGACCTGTACGTCGCCCGAGCTCGAGGCCGGGCTGGTCGTATCACAGCCGACCCCTCTCACCCTGCACATGGACTATTCCAACCACTCCCCTCAGGCAGGAGGCTGCGGTCCATCAGGACTAGAACCTCCCGCCACAAGAACAGTTTCTTCCCCTCTGCTGTTGGACTCTTGAACACTTCTCAACCTGTTCCTCCACCCTTTATAAAGTCACTTTACTGCACTGTACTGCTGTCACCTTACATTGTGTGCACCATGTGCACTTGTATATTGTAAATAGTAACTGTAACTCTATTTTAAATTTAAATTTATTCTTTAGAAGTGTTTTTTTATTCTTATTTTTATTATCTCTTTTTGACTGTTGCACTGAGCCAAAGCAATTTCCTAGTCTGTGACCTCCTGTTACTTACGTGACAATAAAAATGATTCTGATTCTGATTCTATGACAGCTTGGGGTCTTTTGTGGTGGTTGTGGATGAGGTTCTTTATCCTCTTTGACGGTGTTGCTGCCATTTCCTGTAAATTCCTGGCTGCCTTGTAGGAACTGCACACTTGAGATTTCCCCAGAGCAGCTCAATGATGTTAACATTTGAAAATAGGAAATGTGTTTATGTGAGAATTAATGCGTCACACAACCACTAACAAAGAGTGCTAGAAAAAAAGCGTTTGTGTTATCATTCACAATCTCCAAAATATGGTGAAAATGATATCTGTGCCTGGGTGTGTAAAATTTCAAGTATATAACTCTCTCTATATGTAAATACCCTTGTGCTCATTTGTGATCTGATCTTGATTGGTTTATTTTCTCTTTTCTGTAGCTCCCGGCTTCTCCGCTATCCGCTCCACACAGTAGTCCTCCTGCAAAGTCTCCAAGATCCAAACGAGTCCTTCCTACCACTGGGACCATTGAGTCCATTAACCTGGATGCAGTTCCACAGAGTGGCCCTCGTTTGGACAACACAGCAGCTAAACATAAACTGTCAGTGAAACCCAAGAACCAGAGAGTGTCTCGTAAGCACCAGCGCTTTACACAGGTGAGATGTGAGGGTGGGATGAGGGAGCCTTTGAGGTGCATCCGTACAGTTACGATGTACTGTACAATTAATGTTGAATGATGAAACAAAATGTTATTGCTTTGTTGAACTATTCCACGGAAGCTCGTGAAAATTATCTACGGTTAATTGATTCAATTACAGATCAAATCCACTTTATTTATATCACACATTATTGACCTATGTTATCAGGAGACATGAAGATATAGATCCATCTCCATGTCTCCTGATGACACCGCCAAGAGAGCGTAGGTTAAATAAAACTGGACCTAAACTCGAACCCAGGGGAACACCACGTGTGATTGTATGGACCTGAGAGATGCCGGTGTTCTGTCGAGTTGGTCTTCCCGTCAAGATGAGCTCCCTCAGCTGTTAATGATGTAATGCAAACCTGCGTATGCGCGTCTCAAGGCAGCCGAGGCAAACCAAGATGGCGGACATGAAGTCTGTGAATTGCTTTAAAGCCACCCTGTGTAATTTTTACAGCTGCTCCATATGAAAAAACATGTTAACTAATAACAAATGTGACCTTTTTAAGAATATTTACCTCCACCATGTTTTTTGAATTGTATTCAAAGGCTTAGAAATCAACTTACAGTATAAGTGTCCATGAGAGAGGGGTGCTCTCCGTGTAAATGCGCCATCTTGGAAAACGGTGGTGGATAAGGGACAAAAAAATGTGAGAATCGCGTTTTCATTTTACATGAGCTACTGATATCGTTGCTTTCAAGTTGGATGAAGAAACCATGGAGGACCACAGTTACAGTATATAAAAGAACCATGGAGGACCACAGTTATGTCCGAATGATGATGTCTGTATGATCCGAACAACAATCTGCGTCTGAACTGGTCTTGTTTACATCCACTCCTCCACGCGACTGTCACGTGCCCGAGACGTTTGGAGAGATCCGGTCATTTATCAAACTAAAATATTCTTTCCTTGGCAGTCTGGTGAATGACTGAGAGTTGAGGAGCACTGTCAAACAGTATAGGCAACAGTGCTCCTCAACTCTACAGGCACCCGTACTATATTAGACTGCAATATAAGATCTCAACGCTAGATGGCACTAAAAATTACACAGTGTCCCTTTAAAAGTTAAAATACGAACAAATTAAGACACAAATGTCACTTTTTTGAGAGGTTTTAAGAGTAAGATTTTTGTGTAAAGTTTGTTTTAAGCAGTCAACTGCTCCTGTGAAACCCCACTGCTACTGTAACCCAAATCTGATTTCCGCATGCGCAGAAACCCGACAGAATGGGGAAAAAAACTCGATCTAATTAAATATTTCGTTTGAACACAGTTTGTTAATCATATTGAATACAGTATGATACATGGCAAAGGAAGGTTTCTCACCCATCATCAGTACTTGTTAGCAGGTTTTCCCTTGAATGTTCTGTGTGGGAGATGGTTGTAGTAGTTTTTGAACTGAGTGTGTACATTTCTCCATTGTGAGATCAATAAAGTTTATCTTATCTTATCCAAACCATTGTGCTAAAAATGATCCTTTCTGCAGCAGGACTTAGAGGAGGTGTCTATCCCCGGTGTTCTGGAGGAGGACCCCGAGCCCTCTGACAGTGTGAGGAGGAGGCAACACGAAGAAGAGGCGAGGAAGAGGAGGGAGGAAGAGGAGACCACACGAGCAGAGGAAGAGCGTAAACGGGCTGAGGAGCAGAGGGCCCGAGAGCTTGAGGTCGAGCGCAGACGCAGAGAGGAGGAAGAGGAGGAGAGGCTTCTTCGAGAGGCAGAGGAACGCAGGGTGAAAGAAGAGCTGCTTCGCAAACAGAGGGAGGAAGAGGAGCAGAAACACAGAGAGGAGGAACGAAAGAAACGCGAGGAGGAGGAGAGGAGGAGGAGAGAAGAAGAGGAGGAGAGAAGGAGGAGAGAGGAAGAAGAGGAGAGAAGGAGGGGAGAGGAAGAAGAGGAGAGAAGGAAGAGGAGAGAGGAAGAGGAGGAGAGGAGGAAGCAGCAGGAAGAACTGGAGAAACAACTGAGGGAGGAAGAGGAGCAGAGACGCAGAGAGGAGGAGCGAAAGAAACAGGATGAAGAGGAGAGGAAGAGGAGAGAGGAGGAGCTCAGGTGGAGGGAGATGGAGGAGAGACAGAAGCCCTTCTCCTTTAAGGTGTCGTCCGGAGAGAAGCAAATCCTGTTCCAGAAGGTAAAGTGTGTGTTTCCGTGTGTCTCCTTGTGTGTGTGTGTGTGTGTACATTTTTTTAACATATTATTATTCTGTTTTTACCTGCTATGTTATTGTAATACTAAAATTACAAACTAAATAACATTTGCCACTGGATATGAGTTTTGGCACCACAGTGATTACTTAAATAACCATAATTAAGGACTTTGTTTTTTTTATTATCTTTATTTATCAGACTTGAAGTCCATAAAATACAGAACACCACATCACAAACACAACATACAGTACAAACAATTATAAAAGACAACTGTACCAGAGCTTCCACAGAGCTGACTGGTTGCGCACAGAACTAATCCTGGGGTTCACCAGAGAGCTCAATTTTTTTTACATAGATAATATTACAACATTACAGTGCTTTTTTGCGGTTGTTTGATACTAGTTCTGAAATTGATCAAATTCCTTAATGAAAACTGGTCAAAGAATCTCACATATGTGCATTTATCTAATTTTGATACAAGTTGTATTGTACATATATTGCTGTTTCAATTATTATCTTATGATATATTATCTATACAGTATATGTATTGAATAACAGCCTGCCCCAAGGCGCCTGTGGCTATAAAGGAAGGTAAAGTCAAATATTGTACTCTGTAAAACCATCTCAGAGTACAATAGCTCAGCTTTTTTGTGATAATAATAAAACTAAAATAAACGGGAGTTGGAAACCAGTGCGAATAATGGCAGATTGTGAAAATGTGAAAGTGCCAGTCTGGACCTGTGACATCACTACAGCTCACACAGAACTGGTCGTATGTATGCTCAATGTGGTCTTTCCTTTCATGTTACAGTAACTGCTTGTCTCATGCAAGAAGGTTTAATTGGTCTTTCACAGTGTGGCATAACAAGATATATGTAACCATGATTTATTCTCATAATCTTATGGAATCATGCCGTCTCTGGAGAGTTGTGCAGTTAATTTACACTATATAAATACGGACAAAAGTTGTTCATATATATTTTTACGATGCTAAAATTACTCTCACTTTTCTCAAAGGTAAACTTGACGCCCGTTACTCCAGGATCCACTCATCACCAGGGCGACGTAGTGGTTGACCACAAAGAGAGCCCTAAAGCTGCGTCCTCTGAAGACACATCAAACCTGTCCCCCTCTACGTACATCCCACACACCGCCATCTTAGTGACGGGCGCTCAGCTGTGTGGCCCCGCCGTGAACCTCGATCAAATCAAAGACACCGCCTGCAAATCTCTGCTGGGTTTGGAGGAGAAGAAGACACCTGGGCCAATGAAAAACAAAACGTCACCGGACCGAAAATCTGGCAAGACAAAATCCCTTAGTGAGGCTTCCTTTTCCACAGATCAACCCCCCGGCTTGGATGTGCTGGCAGAATGGGCGAGTATTCGATCAAAGATTTTCAAAGGTGTGGAAGATGGCAGCTATCCTGATCCAGAGATGACAAAATGCCAACCGCCTCCGGAAGAACAACCCGCATTCTCCCACACGCATCTCCGTAAAACTATGTCCGCCAACGCCAAGTTCTCAATCACACCAGCAAAAAAGAAATTTGGTGATTCAAACAGGAACTCTGAAGTTTTTAGTCCCGAAGATGTGAGTCAAGAGCCTAACGAATGTCCTGTTTCTCCAGCGCCTAAACCCAAAGGCAAAAGTGTCAGGATTGTGGAGAGGGTATCAGATGAATGCGTTTTTGCCAAAGATTTGCCATCGTTTCTTGTTCCTGGAGCTAAATCCGATGTAGAAATGTTAAAAACAAGGACATATAGTGAGAGCTATGACAGTAAGGATTTGGAAGAAGATTTGAATCAATGTGGAGAGGATGCGCCATCTCCTTTTGGGATCAAGCTGAGGCGGACTAACTTCTCTTTGCGTTTCCATAATGAACAATCCACAGAAAAGCGGAAGAAAAGGTATAGCGATGGAGATAACTTTGAAGGCATTCCCTCGCCGCTTACGCCCATTGAGCCAGATGTTTCCAATATTTTAACAGAGAGAGCGAGCCCCATGTCCCCGCAAAAGGAATGCATTATCGGCAAGTATATCCACTCGCCTCGGACTAAACCTGCAAAGTCACCGAGTCCGACGCCACAGAGCGAAAGTGAGAAAATCGTCTCGAAACCTCCAGTCTACAGAAGGCCAGCGACCTCTCCAAAACCACCTGGGTCAGTACCAACTCCCCCGCCATCGCCTCTGCCTAAAGTGCACCGCGGGACGCACAGCCCGAGGGAATTTGTAGTTGAGTCAACAAGTCAGGAGCAGGTGGGAGGTCAGGCAGAGGAGGCTCAGAGGTGTGGCCAAGGACACTCGCCTGGAGAGGAGGAGCACAAGGAGAAAAAGTCCTTCTTCCCGTCGATTAGCATTCCCTGGAGAGAGAAGACCGACCGCAAAACAGAGCTCATCCGGAAAGGTCAGTGGATCTAATAAAACACTCCACATGGTTTAATGTTTAGTTGGAGGACTCGCTCTGACATTGTTCCCAAAAGCTTCAGCGGTGTCAAAAGATTGTTTTTCTAGCCAGCGTTGTGTTCAATAGATGATCGGATGTGACCACTGCCTCTTTCTCAAAAAGTCTCAAAAGGGTTCAAAAGTACCACAGTGAATGCTTGTCAAAGATAAAGCTGTTCCTATGAAATATTCAAGGTCTTGTATAAATTAAACAGACATCAATGTAAGTAAGTAAGTAAGTAATCTTTATTTATTTACCGCCTTTTCACTGCACATCGGAGTCTCAAAGCGGTTTACAATTGTTATTTTTGGGAATGGGGGTGCCAGTACAGGAGGCACATGCCAGACCTATTGCACATATTTTTAGTGGTAGGGGAAACCGGAGCACCCGGAGGAAACCTACGCAGACACGGGGAGAACATGCAAACTCCACTCAGAAAGGCCCTGGTCCAACCGGGATTCGAACCCAGGACCTTCTTGCTGAGAGGCGAGAGTGCTATCCACTCAGCCACTGTGCCGCCCAATATCAATCAATCAATCCCCTTTGATTTTCAAATGTGTTTACTAATAATAATAATAATAATTCATAAGTTAATAGGTGCTCTTATTTCCTCCTGTTATGCTGCTGTAGTGTGCGCAACAATTTCCCCAATGCGGGATAAATTCGGGTTTATCTCAACTTATCTGACCACCATCGACCATTACTAATACTAGGCGATGTGGACACACGTGGAGTTTGGCACTTTATACGTGGCTGCAGCCGTGTCACTGTGACGCCTGGTTTTACCAAAGGTCTCCCATCACAGTCCTTACCAGACCCTGCCCGGTTTAGCATCAACGGTCTTTCCCATGCAGGTGGTGCCACAACTGATGGTAATAAAATAAAAATGTCTATGACAATATTCAAGGAGACATATTTCTTATATTTTATCCATGTTACAAGATTGTTCCTCCAAAAACACCTGGAGTTATGCGCATCCCCCTGTCCCTTCTGTCTAAACACTGCTCTCTCAAACCTGGTACACTATGACGATTTCTTTCTCTATTACATCATGTTCAGATCTATTACCTGCTTTTTAAAACACATGCTTTCCCTTAAAATTAGGCTGAAATATTGTTTTACGCACGAATGACGAATTGCATTTGAGCATACAAGATTAAGAAAATCTGTTATACATGTTTATCCATATTTTTTCTAGTTTGTATATTGTTTACATAGTAAAAATATAAATAGTCTCAATGTTATGTTTAATGGAACCAATAATGCATAATAATTCTAAAAATAATAACTTTCCGCTTGAGACGTGAGGCCGTTTCCAAAGAAAAGTCCTGAAAAAGTGAACAGGAATCTGAGACTTAACATGTTTACTGACTTTTGCTCGCAGACAAACCGTCCCTCCAGAGCAGGCACTCTCTGGACAGTGCAAAAGTGCAGGAGAAGGAGGGCGCCCCCATGTGGATCCATGTGGCACTGCAAAAACAGAAGGGCTTCAGGGAGCAGCAGCAGAACCGTGAGGACCGCCGCAGTCTACGAGAGGCCAAGATGGCAGAGAAACATGTCAAAGACAGAGACAGCGTACGTACATGTGTTTTCATTATTTGACTGTCGTAGATGTTGGCTCTCAAACTGAGGAGAGCATACCTTGTGGCTCTGCAGACTGCAGAATGAGTGCAGTTATGGATAAGACTCGATTTGAGTTCCATCCTATTTTAGTCCTGAAACTGCTGGTGGTTTATTTCTATATCAATGAAATCTCTGAATAAATCCTATTATTCTTCTGTCCTCTTCAATAATATAATTTGCATAATATAGTAAACATTACACCATGAGTTAACCAAGCCACTCCTATCCATTGACTTGTAGTGAGCAAATAGTTGTGTGATCCAAATGTATTGTAAAATGCCATAAATGATCATTTAATCAGTCAATAATTTAATTTAAATTCGTGATTTGTGTTGTTTCAGCTTTCATTAGTGATCCCCTCTGACAGCAGAGGAAGCGGGAGCAGCAGTCCAAGCTCCAAGCCTCAGACTCCGGAAGAGAAGAGACCGGACTCTCTCCTGGGACGATTAGATCGCCGCGAACAACTGAAGAAGGCCAGTACTCTCCCCAGCTCTGTGACGGGTGAGGACACACTCAGTACAACACCCAGCCACACATTCACTTTAACCAAAGAAATCAAGTGAAGGATTAGAGATACATTATAACCATCTGCTCACATTAGAGTCCAGTATCTCAAATGTCATCTTGGCACATCCATCCATCTATCCATTTTCTTCCCCTATATCCATTTCTGGTTCGGGGGGGTGGCAGTCAGAGCTGCACCCAGTACACAGAGCACCAGCCCTTCACTGATCCTCCTGCAGGTGGTGAGTCCACAGGAGCTCTGATCTTGACACATGAGTCAGCTTATGCAATTTACTATTGCATTGTCCATTGCACATAGTGTTTTATTCTTTCACATGAGGTGAAATTTCTCAGTTCTGGATAAATGAGGCATATTGTTTAGTCTTCTGCTAGATATTTAAGAATACATACATAACAGGCCAATGTATCTTTTTTCCTGCATATTGTTGAGATTCTAAGTGGGTGTTTGTGTCTTTTCAGTGGAGATCGCAGACTCCACCCCGTCGCCCCCTGCTGTTAAGGACGTGTCAAAGCGCTTCCCCTCCAGTGACTCTGCACAGGTGTCCACAGAGCCGGCCTGGCTGGCTCTGGCCAAGAGGAAGGCCAAAGCCTGGAGTGACTGTCCACAGATAATCAAATAGACACTGACTCCTGATGTGGCTTCAAAATCCATAAATTACACATAGCTGAGAAAAATAAGAGACCGATGGAAGATGAAGTTTGTACATTTCTTAGGTGCAATATTTAAAAAAAGGATTAACTATGGAAAACTATGAACATGTATGTTTCCTTGCCACTGGTGGTTAGGTAGCCAAATGTACTCAATACGTTTTGTTATTTCTAAATATTCTACTTAAGTTAAATACTTGAGATTTTGTCTCGTGGTTGGAGTGTGGTAGGCTGAAGTGGGCTAAATGTAAATCTGGGTCAATTGTATTTTTTCACTAAAAGCCTAAAGTCAATATTTGATGTTGTACTTTGTAACCAGTCTGGGATTGTGTTAAATTCAGAAGACAGTGAGAGTACAGTGGTCTCTTATTTTTCCATAAAGCTGTACCCCATTTCTGACTCTCCTGTTACCATCACCCTATACCCACGGTGGACCTTCTGAGTCTTGCTGAGCGCTTCACTTAAAAATACATCTGCACTCTCTGATGTAGTACGTTCTGCAGGCATGCGCACAAAAACGCTCCATGAACAAAACATAAAAAGAGATAATCTGCCACATTCAGGGGACAGCAGCCAAATCCCAAACATGGCTGGCCAATGCAATAGCCAAGTTTTGTATTTTGTAGCCAACTGCGTCACGATCAATGTAAATATCTCACTCAACACAATAGGGGCACTTCTGTATGAGGTGAATATATTACAGTGTTTATGAATGTTGTTTTAAGGGCTACAGTAACAATCTGAATTAAGAAGTGTTAAAGGCGCCTCTCCTGCTGCCCGAGCCGGTATTATTTATGTAAAGAATTCAATTGGTCTGTATTTACACTACTGTATCTTTCTCTTTTTTACTTAATGGAAAATAACTGTGTCCGTGATGACTGTGATCGTAAAAATACACAGATCAGCCTCAACAGTTTTTGGACTGATCACAGGGAGTGAAGGCTGAAATATGGGGTCAACAGATCCGCTAATGTAGCTTAAAACACCTTTTTCTCACAAAATGCAGTACTTTAGTTACATTTGGGACGAGTATACTGTAGGTGCTGTTATTGTTGGCCACAGAACTGAGGACCACAAGTGTTACCAGGGTTACCATCGACTGCACTTCTTCCCACAGATGTAAACTTCCTGCTTGCTGTAACTTAATCTTCACTCCATTTCACACTTGTGTTTTGTAGGCTCTTTCTGTAAATGTAATGAAATATTTCTTGAATGAAAAGACTTTCCATTCCCACTCAGACCTGTATGTTTGTAACCAAGTCAACGGCACTACGAGCATTGGGCAGAAGGGGACGCTCATCATTCTCCAGAAATTTGCTCGTGCACAACAGTGAAGTGTACGCAGTGTTGATGTAACAAAAAATGTTTGGTATAATTTGCACTTTTTTGTCCCACTTAAGACATAAATGAGATAATTCCTATGAGAAACAAAATGCTATGAAAATGTAAATAAAACACTGATGTCTGAACCAAAGTCTGTCTAAATTATTGTATTTGTAGCTTTTTTGAGTAGCTTATTTCCATCTGTACTCGCAGTCACACAAACAAACACAATGGTTTAACCCTCACCTATTGTAAATGTTATTAGTGGTAGGGGAAACCGGAGCACATGGAGGATACCTACGGCGACATGGGGAGAACATGCAATCATGTGTTACATGTTCATACGTAGAATAAAATACAATATGGATTAAGCATAGATTTAGGATAATTCTAATAATCCTAATAGTTCCCAGTGTTTTATTTTGATAATGTATTTGTAAATCCAGGTATGTGCCCAACTGACCAATCATCTCCCAGAGAGCTAACTTAGCTAGGAGTCTTAGCTTAACAGTTATTCCAGAATATTCTCAGAGAACACTTGAGCAAGGAATGGACAAAAACGTGTGGAGGCGTGGTCAACCCGTTGCTAGGTATGAGTCATCATTTCAGACGCTGTGATTGGTTGAGTAAATATATTTTTTTATGGCAAAATAAGGACCCTCAAGAGGACAAGAGGAGATTTTGTGTTTCATTCAGTGGAGTGGAAATGGAACAGGTTGTGTGAAGAATTGAAACAATGTCCAAATATAAACAGTTCAAAGTAAAATACAAAGAGCATCTTGATAAGATAAAGGGTGAAACTGGGGTTAAAACGACACTAGGTGATACATGGTGCTGCTGCTATTATTGTTGCCGTTCAATTCTTTTTTTTTTTTTAGTTCTTTTATCTTTGAGTTGGACTGTGTGTGCTCACATATGTATGTGTGTGCATATAGATATATATATATATTGAATTAACCACACACCTTTAATTGATAAATATGTCTTACGATGCGTCTAGTTTTAAACAATAAACATAATCATTTCTGCAGCCAATAACAAGTGAGTCCTTGTGAACAACCAGGGAGGAAAACAATTCTCCCGGGAGCGTGTGGGAGGCCCGCTTCAGTCCCGATCCAGCATCCAGGACCCAGACTGTCCCATCTGTGGAGGCCAGGCCCACCAGCGTGGCCCCCACCCCAGGAGCCTCAAACACACAGGGGCTGGAGTACACCCTTCCAGACGTCTCAAAGCTCCAGATTAGAGCTCCGTCTGCGGCGTTTAGGCAGTAGACGTGACCATCGTGAGAGCCGCACACCACGCGCTCCACGCACTCCTCGCTCTCCACACTCACACACGGAGAGGAGAAGACTGGAGCCTGCGTCAGGAACTGCCAGAGCTGAGGAGGACGTAGACAACAGGTCACACTCAAGTTAAAAACAAGTGTAAAGGCTTGATTATAAAAAGAATATGCTCTTTGGTGTGTGCCTTAAGAAATCTTAAATGGAAATGTATTCAGTCTATTAAAGAAACATACTGTCCTATTTCAAATTCTATACTCAAACAAATAGAATAACTGAAACAAAATAAATATTAATGCTGTCTCACTTTCAAACATTTCATTTCGCGCCATTAAAGAGTGGAATCAGCTTCCAGACAGTCGGATATTGTCTGTAGATTTGAAACATTTTACTATAAATTTGAAAAAGCAGATTTTAGACCGTGTCAGCATCAATGAACATTTATAGCATTAGAAAACTAGAAATTGTATTTGTTTATTGTAGCCTATGCCATTTTAGGAAAAAATTTAATGTATTTATGATTGTATTTTTTTGTGAGGTAAGTTTGTTTTTAATTGTGTATATCTATCAGGCATGTCCCACCAAGAGACGACCCTAGGGAAGACCCAGGAAAAGATAGAGGGACTAGCTCTCAGCTGGCCTGGGAATGCCTCGAGATTCCCCTGGATGAGCTGGAGGAAGTGTGTGTGGATAGGGAGGTCTGGGTGTCTCTGCTTAGACTGCTGCCCCCGCGACCCGGCAACGGAAAAAGCAGGAAAAAAAGAGATCGATGGATGTATTTTTAGGCCTTTGTCACATCTTCTGATCAGCTATTCAGACAACAAAGTAGATCCATCAAGATAAAACTATACTTTTATCCACAATGAATACGAGATGTTTGCATGTTTCTTTTTCGGCGTTCAATATGACATGATTTTTAAATCTATACCGCCGTCTTGTACTCGTTTCAGTGACATTAAGTAGTTTTACTAATAATTGTCTGAAGCGATATATATCGCTCAAATTATGTGACACAGGCCTGGTACAATAATAACTCCTTACTGATTCTTAAAATCTGTTTGTTTTTATTTTTCTATTGAATGCTTATACTTTTATGGTAATAGAATATCCTTGAACCTTTCAACATTTCGCCACATTTCAGGCTTCAAACATAAAGATATAAAAATTTATTTTTTTGTCAAGAATCAACAAGTGGGACACAATCGTGAAGTGGAACAAAATTTATTGGATAATTTAAACTTTTTTAACAAATAAAAAACTGAAAAGTGGGGCGTGCAATATTATTCGGCCCCCTTGCGCTAATACTTTGTAGCGCCACCTTTTGCTGCAATTACAGCTGCAAGTCGCTTGGGGTATGTCTCTATCAGTTTTGCACATCGAGAGACTGGAATTCTTGCCCATTCTTCCTTGCAAAACAGCTCGAGCTCAGTGAGGTTGGATGGAGAGCGTTTGTGAACAGCAGTCTTCAGCTCTTTCCACAGATTCTCGATTGGATTCAGGTCTGGACTTTGACTTGGCCATTCTAACACCTGGATACGTCTATTTGTGAACCATTCCATTGTAGATTTGGCTTTATGTTTTGGATCGTCCTGTTGGAAGATAAATCTCCGTCCCAGTCTCAGGTCTTTTGCAGACTCCAACAGGTTTTCTTCCAGAATGGTCCTGTGTTTGGCTCCATCCATCTTCCCATCAATTTTAGCCATCTTCCCTGTCCCTGCTGAAGAAAAGCAGGCCCAAACCATGATGCTGCCACCACCATGTTTGACAGTGGGGATGGTGTGTTCAGGGTGATGAGCTGTGTTGCTTTTACGCCAAACATATCCTTTTGCATTGTGGCCAAAAAGTTCGATTTTGGTTTCATCTGACCAGTGCACCTTCTTCCACATGTTTGGTGTGTCTCCCAGGTGGCTTGTGGCAAACTTTAAACAAGACTTTTTATGGATATCTTTGAGAAATGCCTTTCTTCCATAAAAGCCAGATTTGTGCAGTGCACGACTGATTGTTGTCCTATGGACAGACTCTCCCACCTCAGCTGTAGTTATCTGCAGTTCATCCAGAGTGATCGTGGGCCTCTTGGCTGCATCTCTGATCAGTCTTCTCCTTGTTCGAGATGAAAGTTTGGAGGGACGGCCGGGTCTTGGTAGATTTGCAGTGGTCTGATACTCCTTCCATTTCAATATAATTGCTTGCACAGTGCTCCTTGAGTTGTTTAAAGCTTGGGAAATGTTTTTGTATCCAAATCCGGCTTTAAACTTCTCCACAACAGTATCTCGGACCTGCCTGGTGTGTTCCTTTGTCTTCATGGTTCTCTCTGCGCTTTAAACAGAACCCTGAGACTATCAAAGAGCAGGTGCATTTATACAGAGACTTGATTACACACCGGTGCATTCTATTTACCATAATAAGTAATTTAGGACAACATTGGATCATTCAAAGATCCTCACTGAACTTCTGGAGTGAGTTTGCTGCACTGAAAGTAAAGGGGCCGAATAATATTGCACGCCCCACTTTTCAGTTTTTTATTTGTTAAAAAAGTTTAAATTATCCAATAAATTTCGTTCCACTTCACGATTGTGTCCCACTTGTTGATTCATGACAAAAAATGTAAATGTTATATCTTTATGTTTGAAGCCTGAAATGTGGCAAAATGCTGAAAGGTTCAAGGGGGCCGAATACTTTGTATTGTATTTGTATTTGTATTGTATATCTATAAAAGAAAAGTGCCATTCACCAGTTTTCCATCGAGGCTAAATGCACAAATATTTCCATCGGCTGAACCAATCACAACACACGTCTCAGAGCTGCACGGAGACGAGAAAAATGGGACCTCTTTGGAGTAGGACCACAGCTCCTCTGCAGTGTCCTGAAACATACAAAGAAAAAGTATGAAAACTTAAAGTACGTTTATTAGATTAACAACATTAAGGTTTTTGTTTTTCTTACCAAATTCAGGCACAGAAGACGACCTCCCAACGTCGCCACAAACAAAAGTCTGAGTGACGGCTGAACGAAGGGAGAGGAGAAAACAGCTCCTCCTCCACAGTGATGCTTCCACACACAATCATGAGTCTGGAAAAGACAAATAAATATGTACATTATTAAGAGGCAATTATTCTAACAAATATTGTGAGTACGTATATAAGCAATTGTCTTTCAATAGATGCTGTTTAAAGTGAAAAAATTTAGGTCCTTTAAATTCAATTATGTAGATTTTTTATTGGAAGTGTAGTGGTAACGTATACCAGGTATGTCCAAACTAAGGCCTGCGGGCCAATCGTGGCCAGTTTTGCCGGCCCCTGGACAAGTGGCCCTTTTACTAAAGGTTTGGACACCTCTGGTGCATACAATAGAAACGTACTTTGCAGTTCAAGATCTTATTAATAACAAATACATTATCTAAACTTTTTTAGACTTTTCACTTTAGCAATTACTTTCTTACCGCAAAATCAAATTTCCATTTTTGACAGCACAATGGTTTGAAATTTTCTGTGGCTAAAATCCATATTTAGATAAATGCATTCTCATGTTAAACCAACAAATACATTTATAGAAGCAGTGATAAAGATCACAGACAGACTCACCTTTGGGCTCAGGGCGTAAACGTGTCCGTCGTGTGATCCGACCAAAACCAAACCAGTGGCGACATCAACAGCCGGACAGCACTTCACCGTGTCTCCGGTTTTAAACACCCACTCAGTTTCTCCAGACGACACGCTCAAAAAATACACACCACCGTCGTAACAACCTAAAGGAAATATAGAGTGGCCCTTTTTTAATATCACTGGTAACACAAGAAAAAAAACTGTTTTGTGATTGATTTACAATATAAAGTTGATTGCATTTGCCACATTTATGTCCATACACTGCATCATAATAACAAAATGAACTATCTTGACTTTACTATATTTTGACAGCCTAAAATTACCAGTCTTTTGATCAACCGATCAAGAGCAGTGGCATTTTTGTTTTTTCCTTCTAGGTGAGAAGTTAATAGTCTGTACTTTACTAATCTGGCTTAAGGCAATCAAATTGTACAACAAATGGGATTTAAAAAACGTATTACACAAGTATGAATTTACAGTGTATGGAGGCAATTTCATTGTCTGGGATGTTTCACTAAATATCGACCTTGTCCATCTTGCATATATGTATCCTAGTTCAAAAGTATAAATGTTGATGATTATGGCAAATCATGTAATGTGTAAGTGACAAACAATAATAACTAACTGTTCAATTCAGTTTAAAGTATAAACATTTTCTTAGATATTTTATTTGAGGTTTATACAGCTGTAAACCAATATCAACATTATAATCTAAAGGCTTGATCAAACTTACTTAATGTGTGTAATGAGTCTGTTCTATAGTATTTCACATTGTCGGGACTTTTGAACAGTGAGTTACAGACGCACTACAAAAAACATCAAAAATGCTCACATTCTTTAACTGGGCTCGTCTTTGCATCGCTCTTACCTGTTACTGTACTCTGATATGTCATCTGCTCATTTCCAAGAAGTGATTCTTAAACTACATTGTTGAACATCAGACCGGAACAATGACTTTCTTCACACAAAGTTAACATAAAATAGTAAGAATATTGCCATTTGGCTAAAATACTGACCTACAATCACAAGAGTTCCACATTGAGACACAGTGGCTGAGGCTTCTATCCGGTCTCCAAGAACCCGCTCCCAAATGACATTTCCCGAGTCTAAGTCCAGGGCCTGCATCCGGTGTGAGTGGGACCCAATAAACACGGTTTTTCGCATTTTCTGCACAAAAATAACCGGCGAGGCGTCCACACACCTCCCAGTGTCGGACGACCAATGCATTTTCAGTGAGACATTTTTTGGTGCAGATTTCTGGTTTGGTTTTTCGTCTTCAGCTTCACTATATTGTCTTGTAGAATCATCAAAATGAGTCTCTGTTATCTGCCTCCCTCTTGTGATAACTTTAAATGTTTCTGTTCCTGAGAGTGTCCGTTCACGTTTTGCAATTACATCATGTGACTTGTCTAAATGCCGTTTTGTTGCTTCTTGTTTGACTAGCCCGCTGTTTTGAGGTGGCATCACTTTGTTAACGTCACAAATGTGACGCCAAATGTCTGTGAAAGTGCCATCGAGTATTATTTCTAAAAGATTTGAAGATGTTAGCCCAGAAGTGATGAGAAGGTCTTCGTAGAAAACTAATGCTTTGAGAGAGTCTCCGCCGCTGAGCAGGAAGTTGGAACCCTCATTTATGGGCACGTCTTCAGGAAGGCCAAGGGAATTCTGTAGAGTGTAGAGCAAAGAAACCTTAATACACGGTACACTAGAAAACACTAGAAATGACCGGCACACTGATGTTTGTATGCAACAGTGTAAGGCTTAAGAAAAAAGAGCATCACAAACATTTGGCCAACAAACTAGAGGTATCTCCACAAAGGAATTGGAAACTTCACACATGAAGCTGAATAATTTGAGTCACTGCATACCTAATTCTACATTAGCAAATACTTTATCTATCAATAATGGATAGAACATGGCTGTCTGTCTGTGGCTCACACATTTTGCTATCTGTCAGATCAAACTTCGGATATGGCTTGACGCCATGGGGGGCATCCTTTATATTCGACTGTCAAGATAATATAAGATAACATGTTTTAATCTCACAATGGAGAAATGTACATGTCACATTTGGCATAGGTAGAAGTCCAGTGTAATGAATGGCACTGCACTAGCATGCACCAACGAAGGGTTAATCTGTCTAATAGCATATTATTACATGTCCATAGTTGATATAAAGACTACGGAACATTATTATTGTGACCACAAATGGGAGTAACTCACTGCCATATCCCAGTAGCTTTCTGATTAAAGAAGGGTGCAGGTCCCTGGTCTGTGTAGTCCTAATGTTTGTGAAACTCTTCTGTTCAGTAAATTGTAACAATGATGATATTAGTACCTTCCACAATGTTTCCAGAGTTTCCTTTGATAAACTTTCATCTGACCTGCCCACGATTTCATTTCTATGTGTCTGATAAATCTTCATAAGAGCCTTCATGTCCACTTTACCTGTAAAATCCATCAATGAATAGCTCTGCAGCCAAACACAAAATGTCTTTGCTGCTGGACTTGTACTCACCGTGAGCAGTCAGTGGTAGTTGCGGCACGACCATCACAGTGTTGGGGACACTGAAGTGTGCGAGTGTGTGTGATAATTCAGCCCGGATGCTTCTACACACTTCTCCAGCCCCATCCTCCTGCGCTCTCTTTGTGTCGTCACACGCAACGACGTGGGAAGCTTTTACATCCTCAGATTTCGACGTCACTATAAATGCCATCAGACGGTTTTCAGAGAGCTCCACAGCACAGGCCTCCACCATTGGTAAGGTTAATATAAGCTGAAAAAACACTGTCAATGTCCACTTTATTTGTATAGCACATTTTCAGCAATAATAGCTGCCCAAAGTGCTTCACTTGCAAAAAAGAAAAAGAAAAGAAATGGAATCAGATTCACACAAACACATAAATAGTACAATTGTATTAGTAGGTGTGTACATTATACCTGCCATCCCAACAAGGATGTTCCACTGAATGTATACTAAAACTATTTCATCAAATATTCAAGTGCAGGTGTTTAAAAAAAGTATATATATACACTTTTGACTACTAAAGATGCATTAGGAGTAAATTTGTTCTTGAGGTCTTATCCTCAGGGCCGGAGTTTGACATGAGGAGAACTGATCGACCAATCACACGGTTCCTTGCACCCTTACGTCCAGGCTCACCTGCTGCACCTCGTCCAGACTGAGGCGCTGTCCGTGACGTTTGATCATTCGGTCTCTGCGTCCGAGGAAATGCATCTGTCCGTCTTTGAGCCTCACCCAGTCTCCAGTGGCTCTCATCGTCCCAGAGACAAAAGCGTCCTCATCATCTATTAGACACACCCTGTGCTCGCCACCTGCATCGGCCAAGTACAAGTATATTTATTATTGGTTATGGTTATTTATATGTCTGTGGTAAAACTGAACAATACCAAACAAGGTATCGATATCCCACCTATAAATACTTGTCCCTCTCCTTGTTCGATAACTGCTCCATGATCATCTCGGACTTCCACCTCAGTGCCTGCCATTTGAAATCCGAGAGGTACAGGAGAACTGTAAAATAGACAGTAAAGATATGTACTACGGTTTGTATTGTTAAGAGTCGGGGATATGTCACTGAGTATTTCGTACGCTTGACGTGACTGCAGTTCTCTGTCTGTGATTCTATGGCAGCAGGCCCAGCAGGACACTTCAGTGATGCCATAGATGTTATAAATTTCAGTATTGTTGTCTTTGTGTTTCCAATCTGCCAGACGTTCTGGAGTGGGGCAAGGCTCTCCTCCCAGAAGAAGAATACGCAAAGAGGAGCTTACTGACAAAACTTCTTGTTTCAGGATCTTTGGACCAAACCGATATAATAGAGAGGGCGTAGCCTGCAAAAAACAATAAAATGTATTTTCAAAAACAAATTTTATTTTTTGTATGGTGTCCATGAGTGCTCAAAAAGGGATGAATTATTATCTTTTACTATTATATAAAAAAATATTATAATATTCTTCACCTGGAGAAAAGTTGTCTTGTTAGACTTGAACAGTAGCTGGGATAACCTCTGGGGTATCTTCTTAAGAATTGCTGGAACAATTAAAAGTTGTGCTCCTGAGGTTAATGCCATGAAGATCTCCACCACAGATGGATCAAAAGTCAAAGGTGATGCAAGGAAAATAACATCTTTGTTTGTAATCTGAAACAATGAACTACAAAAACATAAATAAAAATCAATCACTGAATTACATATCAAAACACACAATCTAGACTCACTTTAAGTCCCTTATATTGGGCTGGATACATTTGTGAGGTACTTTCACAATCTTAGGTATTCCAGTTGTTCCAGATGTATGTAGCACATAGGCAAAAGTCTCCTTATTATAAACAGCATCATCTACTGTCTGAGACTTGCTTATTTCAGTGTGGGTATCAGCTTCATCTCGGGACTTCACTTTTACCACTGTGAGCTTGAACTTGGCCAACACTACACAAACTGACAGTATTAACATTTCTCCAAGACTTTTCTGGAATTTCTTGAAAGAGAAAGAGATAAATGTTGAAATAAATCAGAGGGACATCTTGGGGATGGTATCAGTCTTGACAGAACAATACCATACTCAGAATGCATCAACTGTATAAAGTGATGAGTTGAAATATGCACGTACCTCTAGGAGCTCAGTCTGAATTGCACAGTACTGGACACCACAGCGCTCCATGACTCTGTAGGAGAACAGACCAGGGTCAGCTGGGTCCAGAGGGGCATAAGCAGCAGGTGTCTGCATGATCCTGCCAAAAACAATATTCACCAATAGTCACTACCCAATTACATTGAAGTGCAATAGCAGTTATGAGAGCCACGGATCTGCCAACAGTAAGTTTAAAGCAGCAAGTAGTGCTATTATATTGGACATATTTATTTCCATATAGAGACAGGCCATGTCTGATATAACATTTAATTCGTTAAGTGATTATGAGTTGCATTTGTTGCAAGATGACATAGAGTAAAGAGTCTGGAAGTTTTATTATCACTGACTCCAATACAGAATACTGACCCCAGAATCCAGACGGGCAAAAGCAAGTTTTCACGACAGCACAGGCCAATTATACTTTTATTGAGGGGACACGTCTCCCGGAGGATGCAGGACAGTTCAGTGGACAGTGTCTGCAGCTCTCTGTAGCGCAGACACTGGGCTCTCCCGGTACCATCATCAAATGTCACTGCGGTCTGCTCTCTGCAGTCGGACACAGCGTCAGCGAACATGTCGTACAGTGTACGACGCTCCATACTCACGTTAGCTGCGCATAAGCATTTTATTACATTCTACCATCCAATGTTTCACCTTATAGATCCATGTGTTTCACTCGTATTTATTTCTCACTAAAGCTGGGTCGTTGTCGACTAATTATGACGTAAGAAGACGCTTTGACGGTCACAGTTTTGTCCAATCAGAGTTCAGTGTTCAGTGTTGCAGGATTTTCAAATCGGCAGCTCTTTTCGATTTTCTTGAGACATTATTATTAATTCACTAAAACGCACAACTACTTTTACAAACTGCACACTGTTTCACAGCCATGGATGACGTGTTTACTATGAAACTGAAGAGCAATGGATTGCGCTTCAAGCAAACCCTGGATAGACTCGCTGACAAGGTACGGAGTCTTAAGCTAAGCTAAAGTTGCTAGCATAAACTAGTGAAATAAGTTTACAAATACGTTTATGTTATAGTATGGTAAGTTACAACAATGTGAAGACGAGCCACTTGAAGTGGACATGGACAAAACGCTCGTAGAAAGTAAGAAATAAATTACCCTAAATCTACATCAAGCCTAAAGTATTAGGCAAGTAATCTTTTTCTGCTTTGTTTCTTTGCTTTCTTAGCGTTGGAGCATTATATGGCCCTGTCGAAGAAGAAAGTGGAGACATTGTCTAAGGTTTGGTTTCATTCAATGCCTGTATCGTAGTATTTGATATTTTAATATATTAATAATATTGTGTCCTTCAGAGTTTTGTCGATTATAAAGCGGATTCACAGCCATGTAAGTGTTACTAGCTTATAGAGATAAGAGTTCCAAATATGTTTTTATGATTTTAATATTTTCTCTGCAGTGCGAGACGGTACCATATATTCCCAGGTATAACCCTTGCATTTAATATAAAGTTAGAAGTGTCTATTGTTGCTTTGAACGTGTTTTTTTTACCCTAGGGAAATGACACATCCGTAGAAAGTGGCCACTTGGAAACAGTCTACTTACCTGGACAAGGTGTTTTTTGATTTTTCAATAAATGCTGATTAATATGTACATGCATTGTTAATAATTTACGTTAAACATTTTCAGATGAAGCCACAAGTCTCTTGGATGACAGTTGTACCATATTCGACCAGCCAGAAGATCACGATGAGCAACTTGAGATGTCTCTCCAGAGTCAAGGCAGTTCTTTGGGCGAGGTTTACATGGATATGCTCAGTCAGATTGGAGAGGCCTGCCAACGACAACACGTCTCTGATGCAGCAGATTCTGTCTCAATGAAGTACCGCAGATTGCGTGAATCAAAACGGCAACCCAACAACTCTTTACTACAGGTACAAAAACCCATCAATGCCAAAAAGATTATCAACAAGCCTCACCATGTTTCTATAAGCCCAGTAAAGAGCCTTGTATCACCTTTAATCAAAGATGGTTCACAATCTCCTGTGAATAAGAGCAGGCAGAAATCCAACTTGTTCTATCCTAGAAGAGAAACGCCTACTACTGCAACAGTGATGGACATGTCTGCCATCTGTGAACAGTATGAAAAAGTGCAGAACCACACTTTCAGAGTTTCTGAACCATCTTTAAGCTACTCAACATACATCTCAAGTCCCCCAAGATTCTCATGTCCACCAAATAGTCAAGCCAACAATCAATTATTTCGGATGAGTGAGTGTTGTCGGTCTCCACGCCACTTGCAAACAGCCGGATACTCTGGGTATGAACCTGAAAGCTCGCCGTTCAAAGAAAGACCTGAATATTCCTCTCCAGTCAGACGCAGCCCTTACCAGTCCAGGCTGGCGAGCAGGAACAGTTTTGGTGATAAAACTGACATCTATGGCTCCGCTGTGACAAAAAGTCCTTTCAAGTTGCACTTGAGCAGGAGTCCTAAATCTCCATACATGAAGCAGAGTAGATGCAAATCAACATCCAACTTGGCCTCACCTATGTCTCCTAAGATTGCAGCACGCAGGAAGTCCCTTGATTATCCAAACTTGCGCCTCTCCAGTCAGCTGGGTTCGCCTCAAATGGACAAAGCAAGGAGACACCATTCACTCCGCCGCAATTTATCCTTTGATTCCTCGTCTCTGACATCGAGCCATGATTTTGACAACGACTTCAAAAAACTGTACCACCAACTAGTCTGCCTCAACAAAACCATGAAAGTTCCTCCTTGCAAGTTTTGTCTGAAGAGCCCAGATGCAGCCAGCAGGGAGCACTCTTCTTTAAACTTGGCAGCACTTGCCCTATCACCACATCAACGTCTGGGAAAACGCCATGAGTTGAACAATTATCCGCAGTCCAAACGCTTCAAGGATGGACACTTCACAAAATATCTCTAGTCAGTTTGAAAATGCAACTGACATATCTACAATGCTCTTCTGTACACACCTTGTGTGTCTGCATAAATTAAATGAACGTTTTGTTAATTTGTTTATCAATGGTTTTTAAATCTGTGACAATTCACTCGTTAATGTTATGGTCAAACAAGTTGTTTTTAAACGTCTTAATAAAATCGACCATTTGGCCTGTCTTAACAAGCTATAACCAATTCAAAAGGTTTAATTTGATGCAAAATGAGGGCAAAACGCTTGATTGTCATTGATTTATCCATTCAAATGTATAAAAGATGTATCGTCAAATAAAATGCAAAAAAAGTTTGAGTCTTGTGCTTTTCTGACAGTCAAAAAAAATTTGAACCTGTAATTAAACCACAGAAGTCGAACATTCTCAGTACAATTTAATTCAAACGGTAAAGTAAATGGTACAACAGATATTTTACAACTTAAATGCTTATTAAATTCCTTGTTTTGTTATGAACAGCATTTTCACATATTGTACAACCCTAAAAGGAGAACAATATGTGAAAATTATATCTAAATAAATTTACATCTTTGTTTTGGTAAAGTTACGGTAACAAGTGCTGCTACCACTCCAGCTCCACTGGATATTTCCCAGTGAGGCAGGCTGTGCAGTGGCCCACTCTGCTGATGGACTTGTTACTGATCATTTCATCTTTGTCTTTGGAGCCAATTCCTCCCTGCACAGCCAGAAGCAGGCCTTCCACAGTCAAATACTGAACACTGTCGGCACCTGAACAAATCAAGGAGGCAAAATTAGACTTCATAGTAATTGATATGATTATGCACAAAACATACCAATGTATCCAGCTATGTCCTGAAACTCTGGTTTGTTTGCAATCAGCTCCTCTTTGGTTGGGATATTAATGCCCATGTAACAAGGGAACTTAATTGGTGGAGAGGCAACTCTAATGTGGACCTGCAAAGCACAAAACACAACCCATGTGAGAGTCCACATTGGAAACAAGAATATATCCAATTTAGGAATAAAAAACATAGAAAATAGTGTCTGTGGTGTTGATATGTAATTTCAAAATGAAAGCATTGTAATTAATGTAGTTCACCTCTGTTGCACCAGCTTCCTTCAACAGCTTTATTATTGGTGAGATGGTGTTGCCTCTCACAATGGAGTCATCAATGATCACTACCCGTTTTCCAGCAAAGTTGTCAGTCAAAGCTCCAAACTTTTTGGCGACTCCCAGCTGCCTCAGTCGAGTGTTTGGTTGGATAAATGTTCTACCAACGTAGCGGTTCTTGCACAGAACCTCTATGTACGGCAATCCCAACTGTGAAGTTAAATGGATAACATCACTGACTTAAGTCCGGTAAGATACAAGTGCATGTTATTATGTATTTTCAGGAATTTATGATTGAAGCCTGCAGATATAACTAACTTTACCGTAGGTAAATTGTATCACACATTTTCCTCCTTTTAGGCACTCAAAGTGTTTTACATAAACACTTCACACAATTCATATGCTGATGCAAACTGAGCTGTCGTCCATCCGTTAGTAATGTTCAATCAAAAAAGTCTTGAACAGGAGGGCGCCTGAAAGACCCACCTGCTGTGCGTATCCGAGGGCAGCAGGGGTGGCAGATTCAGGGACGGTGCTAACCACATCTGCATTTGTGGGAGCTTCAATGGCCAACTGCCGACCACAGCGCTGCCTCACAGTGTACACCATTTGACCTAAAGAACACAAAAACATGCATTTTTTATTTATGTATGTATAATATATAATATATATATATATATTTTTTATACAATAAATGAGTAATTTTTAAAGTCTTACCCTCAAATATGGAATCAGGTCTGGCAAAGTAAACATATTCAAATATACAGAAGGCAGGGAGGTCTCCTTCTGGACGTGGGACAATACTCAGAGACTTGATGCCGTGTTTTGAGATTTGAACAATTTCCCCTGGCAACACTTCTCTGTAATACCTGACAATGACATTGACATCCAGATGATTCATGTATTAGACCATGAGGGAAGAGAAGTTTCAAAAGGTCAGCATATGGTTTTTGACATTCATGACAATCCAAGAGTGTAAAATACTAATGCTTTGCTGAACACATTTGTACAACTTTGGAGGTTTTAAAATGTGTTATGAAGATGAAAAATAGGACACACCAACTAAAGGATGAGAAAAGTTAGCCTTAAAATTACTTTATAATATTAATAAAAAGCAGTAGAATTATTGAACTACAGGTGAGTCATACACCAACCAAGAGTTTGGTACATGGATGCATTATTGAGCAGCTAGCGATGTAAAATAAAAGCACCAGAACAAACTAGATTCTCAGTTTTGTTGCTTGACTCAAAATTTAGTAAAAAATATTAGCTGAAATGTCATCAAATCTGATCTAGCAACAGTTATTGAAACAGATATTGGACACCAGTATCGGTGCATGTCTATGAGACTAACCTGGCACCAATGGACTGAAAGCTGCAAGACTCTGAAGACACAACCCAGCCCTCAGTATCTCCCTCCTCCGACCCTAAAGATCAAATAAAAGTTAAAAGTTAATACTGATACTCAAAAATGACCCTGGTTGAACCGGTGAAAGACCAAGTTCCAATACAACCCCACTGATAACCTCTCGTGTGGAATCACCCATCCTTTGGTCAGTCCATATTTGTCTTTATAAAAACATCTATGCGTTAGCTGTGTTGTAATCGTCACATGCTTTACCTGAACTGTGGAGTTTGGAAACGGGAACCACCCGCCCAATACAGAGAGGCCGATTCCCATACGGGTCCCTCACGGCGTAGATGACGTCTTTGAACATCATCAACAGCGAATACGACGTAGGAGTCTCTGTCATCAAATTTTTGATTCTATGGCACAAAAACAAACGCATTTAAGAATAAAACTTTTAGAGTTTGATTCGCAATTTGATGTAATTTCTAGAACACCAGTAAAATGATACCCACCAACTCTTCCCCTATTATTTACAGGATCATAACCCAGAGACAGCCAGCAGATTTCCATGACTATGTATGTGACCAAATGCAGCATCTGTTTTGTCATGACTTCACGTTTCAGTTCAGGAGGATATGTGTTGCGCCAAAAGTACAATTAATTAAATAAAACCCTCATAGATCTTTATTTATCCCCATATTGATCAAACTCTGGTCTGGGGCGTTACACTGACCTGGCAACCCAGTCAGGGTTGTCCAGCCCCTCCATGGGCGGAGTGAGGGCCAGCAGCTGTGTGATCAGCTCACTGTCTGAACTGGTGGAAAGGCCCACACCGTGACGCATCACCTGAAACACAAATGCTTTGTGACGACATCACTGCACTTCCTGTGGCAAAGTAGCAGCATTAGATCAAACTATTCTTGTGCTGTAACCACACTAGATCTCCGACACAAAGGCCAGTGGTATCTGGGAAGCTGCAAATTCAGTGCATTCAAACCAGTTTTTACTTCCAATGATCAAACAACATAAATATTAGTTTATTGCTAGCTGATTTCTACAACATCAAGACAACCCATTTCCATAACTTTTTGCAAATTAGTAAAATAGACACAGAGTCTGACTTTGGTCAGTTACAATGATTATTAATTTTATTATTTTTACAGCCCTCGACCACAGTTTTAAAATACAGGCTCTTTGGAATGTTGTGATCTCACGTGAACGCAACTTATTGTAAGTAAAGTGGAACAGTAAAAGAACAGCACCTTCTTGCGGAGCGCCTGTGCGTTCACCAGCTCTCCGTTGTGAGCCACAGCTATCTTGCCGTGTAGCGTGTCCACCACAAATGGCTGACAGTTCTGCAGCTCCGAGTTCCCGGTCGTCGAGTACCGTGTGTGGCAGATTCCCAAGTTTCCATGGCGCAGTTTTAGGGCGGCTTCAGGAGGGAAAGCAGTGCTCACCAATCCCATCCCCTGAAAACAGACGTGAAACTCGTGTGACAATCCACAACAGAGGAAAATGTACTTTATATTAAGCTTTATAAAAGACGGATTCTAGGAGACAGTTCCACATAACTTGTTTTTTATATATATATATAATATATATATATATATATATAAATAAAAAGCCCTCTTTATGAAATCTTCTTGGTATTTTTTTGTGTGTTATCTGTTCTCTGATCCAATCCATAGACTGTATATATTAACAGACGTAGTCACGCCTATCTCCGCCGTTCTAACTAATGGGCCAAAAATTGGGCATTCATGGAGTGATTCAAAATGGCCGTGGGGGCTAGAAAATGTGAAAAAACGCATCTGCGCATGCGTCAGCCGGCACGGGCCCCATTCATTTAAACGAGTGACTTCAAAAATTCACAGCGAGTAAACTAGTACTGAGCATTCAAACACATGTGGAACGGAGCTTTGGGCCGACATCCAACTTTTGGACCATCCTGTAAAGACGTTTTTGAGAGGTCAGAAGATACATACATCTGCATTGAATAATTCCCTTTCCGGGTGCAGCCCTCTGGCTTGGTGTGGTATTGCAAGCATGTCAGCGCCCGTCATTTTGGCCGGGACCCGCCCCCACTGATCCAATTCTATTCCACTTTCTTGTACATAAAATACTAATGTGACTTATTCAAAACAAAGTTGCCATTTTTACCTTGTGGACTGTGTATGTGGGTGTGCTGGCTCCATTACTTGTGACGAAACCAGCACTCTCCTGGCCTCTGTAGAGACAAACAAATCACACTTGAAGCAAATTGTTAGCGTCATTGCCGTTTTAGCAAGAAAGGACATGTTCAATCAAGAACAATACCACTGTGGTTTAAGCCCGAGGCAAATTACAAACCTTGTTTGCAAGAAAGGATCTCAGGAAGGTATTCAACGGTTTAAAGCATTTTGCCTCCTGGAGAGCCGTTTATTCTGCTACTCTTAAGCAGTCAAAAATGGAGGCAATTTCTTTTGGTGCCATTAGATTCCCAAAAGAAAAAAATCTATAACAATATGTCTATTCTATGACATGTGAATCATTCTTTTTTAATATTCAACACGTTTGTAATTTGTCTTTCTATTTGTGGGAGCGACTAGGAAAGATGAGCTGCCAAGCTATAGGTTGGACACCCCTGATCTGTGGGTTCTCAAGTCGTCTAAAGCTTTACAATAATGTGTGATTTATTTAGTGCATGTTCCCCTGCCAAGATTGGGCTGAACATGTTTTATTGAAACTAACAGAGCTTAAGTACCTTACAAACCTGCTTTTTTAAAACAAAAAATAAGAAGGTAGATGAGGTTCATCTAACTTTCAGAGTCAGATGGGGGATGATTAAAAAGAAAAACGTCTAGCAATCAGTCAAAACTGTATTGAGCAAATGTTTCAAAATATATATCCATTGTCCAACCATGATTCATCTGAGCGCACACAAAACTAGAATTATGGACATACACGTACTTTGTACCGTAGTAGTTTATGAAGCTCTGAGCAACTCTGTAAAAATAAGCCACTTGTTTTTCACTAAGCTGCCATTTTACTGCAGTTTCTCAGTCTGCTCACCAAGCTGCTTCTCGTATTACAGCCAGCCCCTCCCCCACCGCACACAGCTTAAGCCAGTCATAAGGCAGCTCTCAGCAACAGAGGCGTAGCCAACGGGCTTAGCCGCCTGGTTGCCTAGGGAACGAGGCAGCAGTGCCAGACGGGGGATGGTGCAAAGACAGAAAAGCAAAGCAAGCGTTTCATTTGAGGTCAGCTCAGACATGGAGCAGAGAGCTCAGAAACAAAGAGGAGGTGACAGTGTCCCGGTGGAGAGTACAGGGCAGTGGGCAGAAGCCGAGGCTCTGGCCTTGATGAAAGTATGGAGCGACTTAGGGCCTCAAGACGAGAGCAGAGCCACATACGAGCTGCTGTCAGAGGCTCTGAGGAGGCTCAGGGTGCAGCGCAGCTGGAGGGAGTGTCAGGCCCAGTGCAGGAGCTTGGGACTGCACTGCAGCACTAAAGAGGAGGACCCAGGGCTTGACTACCCCCAAGAGAGGCTGAGGACGGACTCCACAGCAGTGAAGGAAGACTGGGAGGAGGAGCATGGAGGGGGCAACACCAGAGGAATGTTCCAGTCACCAATGCAGGAAGGTAAAGAGCCAGTTTAGCATGTGTGTGCCAAGTCCACACCAAGACCAGAGTTTCAAAAGTTATTTCTACTCACTGAACACAAAAAAAATTATGTTGACAAAATTATTTAAATGAACACATTCAATCTTTAATAATATTTATAGATTTGTAACATAATTCAATAGATATTATTTTTATTTATATAGATATTATTTACTTATTTATATATAGATATTATTTATATAATATAATATATATATATATATATATATATATATATATATATAATGTGTATATAATAAATATTCCATCACATTTTCCCCCACAGGAATGAAGCTTATTGTGCATCGCGCGATGCCCTACAACGCAGACGCTCCTGAAGAAGGCGGCCGCCACTGGTCGGACGACGAGGTGAGAGGTTATTATTAGGTTAATGGCCAATTGTGGTTATGGTAATAATTATGAGCACTTTTAGAGGCAAAGTACATTTTATCTGTGTTTATGTACATAGTTGATTTGTATACATTTCAAAACACTGAATTACTTTACATATTTTTTGCAAAAAAAAGAATTTTCAATTTTCAATCATATTTGATGTTGGTTTTTAATCACAAAAATTGTAACTCTAAAATGGGAAATTGTGACATTCCCAGGTGAGAGCGTTGTTGTGCGTCTGGGCCAACAAGAGCATCCGTGAGCGCCTCAAATGTACGCTGCGCAACAAAACCATCTTCCAGGAGATGTCGCTCCTGATGGAGAAAAACTTTGGCATTGTGCGCAATTGGAAGCAGTGTCGCACGAAATACAAGAACCTGAAATATGACTACAAGACTGTGAAGACCACTCTGAATGCCAGCAGCAGTAGTGGGAGTGCGGCTGGGCCAAACAAGTACATGAAGTTTTTTGAGGAAGTAGAGGCCATATTACTGGACCAGGGACTGGAGAGGGGGACGCTGGACATGCAGATGAGAGTGTTCGATGGAGAAGAACCAAACACAACAGACCCCGAACACGAGGCCATCATTGAGATAGACGATGGTGAGCATTGGGAGGGAAGGAATAATCATGTTACAGGGAAGCCCCATTTTTCATTGAGCTTAATTCATGATCATAAAGCTTTCAATTTGGGAGTTTGCAATAGGCAGGCAGACAGGCCTAGTAGGTGATTTGGAATTTGAGTTTGGAAAAGTTTAGAAGATAATTTTGTTTTAAAACACATTAATAAGCCACATGATCTTTCTTTAACCACATTAGGAAAACGTTTTTCAAAAAAACGGTAAAATGATACTGTTACATGGATTTTTTAATTGATGAAATTAGACCATTTACTGCATGAGATTACCTAGAATGTCATGGTTTTGAAGTTCTTTAACTCATACTAAGTTCTCACAGGATAAATAAAACACAATATGTATTAGGTGTGATATTCTCTGCAGATATTGGAAAACAATAATATAAAAGGAACGCACTCAATAAAACATAATACAAGATACTAGATGTTAATACAATGTTAGTTCTCTGCAGTGTTTTTTATGGACAAAATATACTTGTTTTTTACTATCATTTAACTCTTTCAGATGACAACAGTGATGAGTATGATGGTGATGGAGAAGTGGACACTGGGATCTGGAAAGGAACAGGTAAATAAAATGCATTTTATTTTTTATTAGATCTTTTGCCGTCTTTACAGTTTCACTATAGATTGTAAACAGTGACAGTGTGCACATTTTTCTTAACTCAAAAATAACCTTAACATTTTACAAATGTATTATTTTCTTGCTCTCTAACATTTACCATCCATCTTCAAACTACAGACGCATCCAGCACTGACCAAGTGCAGGTGGTGACCATTTCAGACACAGGTCGTAACTGGAGCGACCAGGAAGTGAGAGCCCTCATCCACGTTTGGTCGGACGAACGCATTCGGACACAATTGGAAAGCTCAACAAGAAAGAGGGACATTTTCATCCAAATCTCAAACTTACTGATGCAACAAGGAATTGAACGTGACTGGAAGCAATGCCACACCAAGTACAAGAATCTTAAATATCTGTACAGGTCACTGCAGAGGACCAGGACGGAGAAGTCTGACCCCAAACACCTCATGCGTTTCTATGAGGAGCTAGACGCCATAATGAACCGTCCTAAAAGTAACACTATGAACAGCTCTCCGCACGATAGGTTGCACCTGGACTACAGCCTGGACACTGCACAGATCCCCACCTTGGACAATGAGGACCACACAGATGTGCATTTGCTCAAAGTGAATAACGTTGTCACATCTCAACCAGGAAGTTCCTCTGAAACAGGTATTTCAGCAGACTTTGAACTTACAGCCAACGAGCAGGAGCAGAGGACACAAAACAGAGACAACTCCATGAACGCACAACACACTCCGACCGGTAAGCGAAGCAGCACACTCGAGCTGGGCGATCGTCAAGATATCTCCACTTCCCACACTGACCCACTTCAATTTATGATTTGATCTTTTTTAAAGAGAATGACTGGTATGACAAAAACTATACTTTTATCACCACTTTGGCAAGGAGAAATGAGGGAGTGAGATGCAAACTGCTTGTTCTCATGACTATTTCAACAAATTCTTGCACAGATCTATGTTTTCTTTCATGTATTGATAATCATAATACCAAACTTGAAATTGCCATCTTTAAAATGTCGACACAGCTTTAGAGCAGAGGTTGGGGAACAAAAAATCTTTTTCCTGTGTGTGTGATGTTCCGATTACATCACAATTTTGTGATCTCAACTAACTTTCCAATTTTAGCCCCATCCTAGAGTGCCAAAAAAATCATATTGTCAAAAACGAATATCTCAATTTATTTTCTTGAGTATTATGATAGCACTAAAGTGGTGATCCATAATACAAACTAAAACAGAAGTTCTAAATGGGTTGGTTGAAGGTTCAAGATTTGCATGAATTAATAAATAAATAATGTACGTGGGACAGTGCACGTTAATTGAACAGATGCATAAATACAAATTCCCCAGACTGGAGCCAAAGTCTAGTTTACGTCTGTTTCATTCCAAGGGCTGAGGCCGCAGAGGGTCACGGGGCTGTGTCTACTTAAACCTAAACTGACACAAAAATGCAGGATGGCCATATCTTTAAGCAAGTTAAACGTTTTAATTATTAATGATAATCAATTAAATGAATTATTTTTAATATAATAATTGTTGACACCTGCATGCGACTATGCAACACAATAATTAACAACACAAAATTCTTGACAATCTTTTACGAGGGACGATGTAAACTCCAAATGTAAATAGATGATGTTCAGAGACTTCTTGCATTTACAGGGAAGTTTACAGTGTTGTATTGTTCTTTTACTGAAGTCTATGCAGTCCAGCTGGAGAAAAGGCCAGAGAGAATGAATATTTCCTCAACACATTGTGGACAGAAGAGGAAAGCAGAGGAACACGGTTTGTAACTTTATCACATCACATGAGGCTAACAATTGGCCCCCGTGACTTGGTCTCATGAGACTGACGTGGACCAATAATGTAGTTAGAAAATGTAAAGTATGTCTATAGCTGGTAAACATCAACAAAGTCTGAAATAGTTTACCCTAAAATTAAGGTTTTCAATGATGCATTTCCTTTATACTTTTCAGCACAAACAGGACATTTATCAGGAAAAAGAATTAACTCTGGATCCAACAATGTCCAGAGGGAAGGCTGCTTGAAAGAAGAGCAAGGGCACTTTCCAATCATAAAGTTCGACTCCATTCATTCCATGGTCTCATCTGATACGTCCCAAGACCCCCAGGTAAACGCCATCCTGAACTTTATTCAACCAGTCAAGTCCCACTGAATGTCTTTTTTTAGGAGTCCTAGCCCCAGACAGGGGTGGGAGAGAGTAAATACCATAGGTCTGTAGTTCGATCAAAGAGTGTGGCTTAATTCAAAACCTCAGAACTTTACACACAAAACTGAACGTACAAATAAACTATTTAGAAAAAGAAAAAAGAAATCATTGAAAAATATTGAGAAATTAAATTGAGTTTGCACTGGCATGATTAAAAAGGTATCATATGAAACTCTTTATGTGGAAAAGAAAGTTTACATCATTGCGTAGTTGACCTTAAAGTGACCCAGTGACTGTAGGGAATCCTGGTTCCTTTACCTTTTTATGGTACAGGATTGCAGAAATATATTAACACAACATTCAACTTCAATACTAAATGACACCCACCTTCAGCAGCTTTCCTCCATACCTTGTCATTCTTTTTGTTATCACATAAGCTGGACATTCTTGTAATTGTCAACTAATATTTGGAACCATTGGGCAATTACTCATACGAGATTGAAATCCCCTAATTTTAAAGATGCAGAGAGGAGAGTCGTAATTCTATGATGGACAACGTTGTGATGGCATGAGGCATATATTTAGCAGATTTACGTAAAATAATATTTACCTGTGCTGCAAAGCCACAAGACCCAGTGTCAAGATTTGGGCGACCTCCAGCTGGGTGGGCCACTCTCCGGCTGCTACACACCCGAACACCCCGCACTCTTCCCCAATTCCCGATTCCTCAAACTCCATCTCTGGTGAAAGTTGCTTCTCTTCGTGCGTTAAAGTCTGAAAACTTTACCCAGGAAGCTCTGGTCTCACCACCACGTGTGCAGAAGCCAACGGCGTACAACAACGAGGCTGCCTATTATGACAAAAAGGAGTATGTTGACATTCTCTCCCCAGTGTCCTTGAGAAGTCTAGGCGCTAAAAAATGTCAGTTTTGTGGGAAAAAAACGTCTTCCTACCTATGCCTCCTACTTGTTTTGCACAGAAAGATCAAGAAGCGCTGCTAAAGTGGCACATCATTCACTCACTCACCCAACATTCAACATCAAAGCAATACCACGTGGTAATTTTAACGATAATAAAACAGACCCGATAGTGTCTTCTTTCGTAAGGTATCCACGCTGATTCAATCTGAGCCTTCGTCTAAAAGATAACACGAGTAGTTGGCGATAAACTCGGGGAAGAAAAAGTACAATTTGATAAAGTATGTGCGACAGCGGAGCGTCTCCTCCTAACCACGTATTGAGCTTTCTGCGTGCTGATTGGTTGGTGCATCAGTTAGTGCGATCTGATTGGCTTAGATAGTAGGTAAGAATGCCCCACTTCCTTCTTTTTGGGTCGCACGCCTCTTGCTGCCTGCTCATCTCCCTCAACAACTCTCAAAGTTTTTAATTTCACCCATTTCTTGGTTTTTAGGATCTTTTGCAGACGACCATGGCATCTACTCCAGGTATAAAAAGTGTGTTGCATATTGTTTCTACCTTGTTTTATGACAATGTCTAACTTTTATGACTTCAAAGTTGGCAAAAAGCTGAACGAGGGCAAGACGAAGCAGATCTTCGAGCTCGCGGATCAGCCCGGGCTGGTACTGGTTCAGTCCAAAGACCAAATCACGGCTGGGAATGCGGTGAGGAAGGATCAGATGGAGGGGAAGGCTGCCATCGCCAACAAGACTACGAGCTCCGTGTTTAAGCTGCTGCAAGAATCTGGTGAGACAATAGTGACAGTTATAAAGGCAGCATGGTGCACATGGAAGCAGCTGCGCAATAAGGGCCCATGTGCGTCCCAGGTAGATGATGCAATAGGCCTTTCATGTACACTGCTCTGATTGATTCTATAATGAAGTGGGTTAAATCTGGGGTAACAAACTTTCAAACCACTAAAAAAAATGACTTTTGTAATCTCTTATCGTTTTCCTCACACTCCAAACAATGCAGTTCTACTAACATCCATGTTTATTTTGTTTTGGCTTCTGTATCGTTAAATTACGTTTTTTCAGCACAAGGGCAAAGGTCTTTCTTTCACGTATGCAAAAAAAACATGTCAATATAAATGTCACAATAAAAGAATCAGGATATATGTATATGTCTAAATTATTTATTTATTTGATTACAATTAGGAAAAAAAATCAGTGTACCAGGAATTTTAAGTAACAACATTAGTTCTACTGTAATTGCAATTTAATTTGTTTTACCGTTATTGATGGTTACAGAATAATTACTAGTGTTTTGGATTTTTTTTTTTCTCACTACATTGTTGCCCCATCTTGAGTTAAGGCCACTTTTATTACCCTTCCTCTCTCCTTTCTCACTGGCTAAACTAATCTTGTCCTTAGACTGCAAATGCTCTACGGTAAAGGTCATGTTGGAACTTTGGTAATTCTCTTGTATACAATGTTTTACCCATTTACCTTGCTGCAGTATAAGATAACAATGGAAACTCATCACTTCCTTTGGTTCAATACACGTGCAATCAATAGAGCAGTCTGACTTTACCAACCTCAAATGACCTGAGGGGTTTGAGCAACATGTGACACAAGTTAGCATTTTTAACAAAGATTTCAAACGTGTGGTGTGTCAGCCGACTTTCTGATTACAAACTCGTGTGACTTGCTGCTTTCAATTCAGGAGAACGTGACCTAAAGTTGATTTTTATAGAGCTGCACTCTATTAGTATCCAATGTAGGTAATGAGAAATGCAACTGAATAACTGGTTTGCGTGTTTTGTTTTATTCCAGGTGTTAAAACGGCCTTTGTAAAACAACACTCTGACACCGCGTTCATTGCAGCACATTGCGAAATGATTCCAATTGAGTGGGTTTGTCGACGTATCGCTACTGGTTCCTTTCTAAAAAGAAATCCAGGGGTCAAGGAGGGCTACCGCTTTTCTCCTCTGAAGATGGAAATGTTCTTCAAGGTATATTTTCCTACATTTAGTTTGTATAGCACTACCACATTTTTACCCCTTAATAATAATATCCCTAATTTTTTCCTCTAATGTTAAACAGGACGACGCCAACAATGATCCTCAGTGGTCAGAGGAGCAGATCCTTGCTGCCAATTTCAACCTTGCTGGACTCACTATTGGTAAATGCGAGGTGGACATCATGAGTCGCAGCACTGTGGCAATTTTTGAGATTCTGGAGAAAGCCTGGTCTACTCTGGACTGTACTCTTGTGGATATGAAGGTGAGCCTGCTAATTATCTTGTCTGGGAAAATGGTTCTCCTGTGTTATTCTTCAGTTTAGAACACTTAGTCACATTTGCATAGGTTTTTACAGTCAATGGGAAAGGTACAAACTGGACAGTGAATGGCTTTTATTTATTTTTTTATTAGATTGAGTTTGGCGTGAACGTAAAAACTCAAGAGATTATCCTGGCTGATGTAATTGACAATGACTCCTGGAGGTTGTGGCCATCAGGTGACCGAAGCCAACAAAAAGACAAGCAGGTATAAAGGATTTCACCAACTCTACATATCCTTTTTGTTCACAGTTATGAGTTTCCATTGTCTTTTTTTTTTTTTCCACAGGTGTATCGAGATCTCAAAGAGGTTACGCCTGAAGCGATGCAAATGGTGAAGAGAAACTTTGAGTGGGTTGCAGAGAGGGTGCAGGTATTTTCAACATCTGGCTTCATTATGGCATTTAACCGTTTGGTCTTGATTGACTTTAATGTGTTTGTTCAAGCTTCTGCATGACTCTCAAGTGAATGGCAGAGTGGTTGTCTTGATGGGATCCACCTCAGACATGGCTCACTGTGAAAAGATTAAGAAGGCCTGCACGACCTATGGCATTCCCTGCATTTTGAGAGTGACTTCTGCGCACAAGGGCCCAGACGAGACCCTCCGCATTAAGGCTGAATACGAAGGTTTGTAGAGATGTTTCTTCTTATTAGTTTGCTGTAATTTGATTTTAATAAATGCCATTTTATTTGTCTTTAGGTGACTGTGTGCCCACTGTGTTTGTGGCTGTTGCTGGGAGAAGTAACGGCCTTGGTCCAGTCATGTCCGGTAACACTGCATTCCCGGTGATCAACTGTCCTCCTCTCACTCCAGACTGGGGAGCTCAGGATGTGTGGTCGTCTCTCCGAATGCCAAGTGGTAATGTATAACTCATAAATTACAAGAGACTACAAGAAACTGTCAATTATAATATAGATGCTCACAATGAGGAGAATGTAATTGTGAGGGCACTTGAAATGGGCTGTTGTTGTTGTGCTGCTAACCATAATGTTCATTGCTTTGAGGCAAGTTTTGTTGGCTAGCTCTCAACCTTGTGTGTTAATTTCCTTAGGTCTGGGCTGCTCCACTGTTCTTTCTCCCGATGCTGCGGCTCAATTTGCTGCACAGATTTTCGGACTCTCCAATCACCTGGTGTGGTGCAAGCTCAGGGCGTCCATGCTCAACACCTGGGTCTCTCTGAAGCTGGCTGACAAAAAACTTCAAGATTGTTGCATCTAAGTGTATCACCCATTTTCTGTCCATCTTCATTTGACCAACTAATTCCATCATGTACTTTCAGCATTCCATTAAAAACCTGAATACTATTCTTGTTTTCTCTTGTAATTGTATTAAGTCTACTTGATAAAGGATGTTTAATTGAGGGGTCTAAGGAAATGAGCTCATTGATCATACCATAAGCAAAAATTAATTGCTCAAAGTACTTAGCATCCTAATTATAGCTCTAGAAATGACTAGTGAAATATGTATGTAGCACCCAATGCCACTAGAGGGAGCTCATGGGCTTAAAATGTAACCTTTTTAAATTGTTCCAGTAACTAAGCCATGGGAATGACTCACCGAATGGCACAATTTCAGTTCTATATAGGGTTCTATTCCTTTTTGTAAGGCTTTCATGGCTTTAACAACCTCTGGTGAATCTCTGCCTGTGTGTGGGTGACAGTGGGAAGTGCTGTGGGTAGACCATGAATCTGTTACTATGTCTTCCTCTTCAATTTTAACATTTAATTACCTATAAAATACAAATGGTTGCACATTTTCAAACATGTACATTATCTGTACATTGGAAAAAAATGTTTTAACAAAAGCCCACATCTGTTTCCAAGACTACTGTAGCCTGGCAATGATTGGCCAATGTTCTAACTGCATTTCTATGTCCTTTTTTACATTTTTATCCTGGGCTTTTTTAGAGCATTCACACACTATATGGACGTTAGAACAGAAGAGTGAATGAATCATCAGTCGACTTAGATTGAAGTGTGATCAGTCTGTCTGTAGCCAATGGCACTTTGAGTAACAATGACACTCCCAGACTCAGAAAACATTTTAATTGTGAGTGTGATATCATTTAGTGAGCCTATAATAACTACTATATTTACAACATAGTCTACAACAGCTATCCATTTGTTGTTGTAAGAAACATTAAAAATGATAACTATTACAATAGAATTAATTCTATGAAGTGCACTCACAACTGTATCCTTGTGTTTGTAATAAATCACACCCCTTGTCTCAGAACCTCTTCCCAGATTGGATCCTTTTCACTGATCAGGCAAAACATGACGATTTGTACATTATTTGTATTGCCTTAAGTAAGAATTGTGTTGTATAAATCATCTTACCTTGCCTATATGAAATAAAGGAGAGGCATGTGTCTTTATAGAACAAATCATACAAAAGGCCACTCTAAATGCTTTAAAAAACAAGAAAGGAAACATTGACATAATGAAACAAGTAAAACAAAAAACGCTATTCAGTGTAAATAAATACATTTAAAAGAAGTCAGAAGGAACAACTTGGGTAACTTTCTTTTTCATCCCGTTGACATGTACTGTATTTGGTGCCTCTCCTGTCAGTGGTGATAATGCTAATAACATTTGTTGTCTACATTCATAATTACTAGTCTCAGTTATTACTACAGGGCTCCAAGATCATGGCACGAGCGTGATTTTTGCCTCAGAAACTTCCCCGCCTCGCGCTCTTTGGGATAGCGCGGGACGAGGCTGGACAGGAAGCGTTTGGCCCGGGATGTGATGCTCTCTTTTTGGCCTCCGTTCATATCTTCCACACTGGTCCCTGGAGGCCAAGGGGACTGGCCCCTCGCTAACCTCACCGCAGACTCAAGCAGCTCTACCGTTCGGTGGTCCAGAGAAGCAGAGATCTCCAAATACAAGCAATTGAAGAGGGCAGCACTGGTCATGGCCTCTGAAGAAAAATAGGAAAAATACAGAATTTTAGTTTATGTAGTTGTTCTTCACAGTGTCTGAATGCTCAAAATCAGGCTCAAAAGCACAACCCATTTTGGGTGCATGTATCCCCAACATTTTGGATGGTTCACCTGCAGCTGTTTTTTTTTTCTTGTCCAGCTAATTATTTATTTTTTGTGGAGTGTGCATTGATGAACATTACTGTAAATGTACCAGAATTACCACTATTTTCCTGTTGTACCTGGGCAGATTTATAATGTCAACCTTAAACGCTGGCTTGCAGCCTGATCAACTCCACAACAGCTACAACCATAGAATTCAAAATCTGCATTTGTTTATGCAGATTTTACACTCCCACATCACATAGAGAACAACAGGCCAACTTCTCATTTGTAAAAAGACATTTTTTTTAGGATTAGATTTATCCATCCATTTTCTTCCCCTTAATCCATTTCTGGGTCGGGGGGGTGGCAGTCAGAGCTGCACCCAGTCACAGAGCACCAGCCCCTCACTGATCCTCCTGCAGGTGGTGAGTCCACAGGAGCTGAGATCTTTCAATGGGAGCTTCAGGCAAAGTGGGGTTAAGTGTCTTGCCCAAGGACACAACGACAGCAGTCATCAGTGGGAGTCGTGAAGTAGGTCTTATGGTGGGCTCGAACCCACAACCTTCAGGCCCAAAGGCCAATGCTCTACCAACTGAGCTACTGTCGCAACTGAGCTACTGTCTGATTAGATTTATGAAAATGAAAAACTAAATTATGACAAACCATATTATTGAAGATATTATATATCAATTATGTTTTAAAATATTATTAAAATATAACCAGCAAGAATTATACCTTTTTGACTTCGCTTTTAACTCACCTTTCGATCTTGTCTTTTTGCTCAGTATAAATACAGCGGCCAGATATAATTAAACCACCAAACCATCATGAGGACCGCCACATGCTCATTATGCTACTGTATGTAAATATAGTGCACTTATTTTTAATTTAGCATTGTGTATATTAGGGGTGTGACGATATATCGATTTTTCGATATATCGCGATACTTTCTCCCGCGATTCGATTATCGATATGCATTTGCCAAGTATCAATATCGATTTAGAAAAAAAAAAAAATAAAAAAAAAAAAAAAAAAAAAAATATATATATATATATATATATATATATATATATATATATGATTTTTTTTTTTTGAATTGGTATCAATACTTAATATATGGCTACATTACACATCACCATTCTATTTATCATGAAATAAAGAGTATTTTTTCTTTTATTTATGCCATAAATTGGCATATTGTATATTTCTAACCAATATATCAATAATCGTCATATCATGATAAAATCGTTATTGCGATATTGTTATCGTGATATTATTGTTATCGTGATATTATCGTTATCGTGAGCTTTGTATCGTGTATCGTATTGTATCGTGAGGTACCCTTAGGTTCCCACCCCTAGTGTATATACTAGAATAATCATTAGAATATTATATCATAATTAACCACATTAATGCTATAGTTTAATTTCAATTAATTGCAAATTTGTATATGTTCAAAAAAGCACATCTATGGCACTGTGACTTATAGATGTGATCCTGTAATCAGCAGTGAGTACAACTGTGTACAGTGGCAAGCGTAGGGTGATTTCAGATACGTGCCTGTTGTACAAGCCCAGATCACGCACACATTCCATGCACTGAGCCCAAAACATGAACCACACGTATTTTAGCGGGGTGTCCAGACACTTGTATCAAAAATTAGAAGGAGAGCTGGCTCGAATGGGATTCTGAAAATCAATAGCAGTCGCGCTTTTTCAACGTAATTTGAACAGAAGAAGCAGAAAAGAGCGATATGCACCTGCATCCTGTCAGACTCATGTGGGCAGCGGTTACATTACCATGGGCTAGTGTTTTGTTTTGATAAACAGCCTTACTGGAGTCACAGATTATTACAGTATAACTGTGACTCAGAGGAGACCATATGACCCACCCCCAATAGCAGATCCAGGCTTGTTACCTTGAGCTGAGACCTCTCTGGACCTCACTAGATCACTCTTATTGCCCACGAGGATGATGGGAGTCTGGGGTTGGGTCTCTCTGAGGAGCAGTCGCAACTGAGCCGTGCGGTGAAAGCTTCTTCTGTCTGTGACGGAGAACACGAGCACACACACCTCGCACAGCAGCATGGACAGGTCCTGATGAGACACATAAGCACTTATCACACCATCATGGAGGAATAAAGGCTTCATTCACCAAACAGACAGAAGCTGTGATTTAAACCTTTCAGATGTCAGTACCACTATAAATGAGTATTATTAAAACATCAATGACAAAAGCAATCTCAGTTTAGATCTTCAATCCATTCAGACATATTGTTGAACTGTCAGTCTAAAAAAGTACAATGCTTTTGCCTTTTTATGAGGTTACCACCTCATAACCTTCCACCGACTATGCATGATTGTGAACAGGATTGGTTCAATTCATCAGATGCTTTTGCAAACAATAGACATGTATTCTTCCGTAGAATATATCCAAGGCACAACATTTGTTATTTGGGCAAATATTGGCTTTTGAGCAGCTGCAAATAAACATCTACTTCTGAGACTTCTAAGAGGCTTTTGACTTCTTTGTTTGTTTAAGGCGTGAAATCATTGATAATATCACTGTCAATCCAATATTTGTTACTGCAATACCAACGACTTTAGTTTGGTTTGGTTTTCCCAAGGCAATGTTGACAAATAGTAGTAATGACATAAGTGCATCCCACAAAATAAAATTAGATCTAAACAAAACAACGGAAAACCAACATCCATCAACATTTGTTTTCATATTGTCCAGCGCTAGAGTCCATGCATAAGTATGATACATTTGGAGAAGGAAAACAAAAACAAAGCCTATTCCGCTAGTTGCTTATGCCAATTACATACTGTAAGGGCAATTATATAATGCCAAGATTAAATTATATTACAAATACATAGTACACTCAAGAGGAAAAACATTTTGACAAGCGTCACACCCTCAAAGACCGTACAAGATAACTAGTATACTAGTTAACTAGAAGTATATTAACCAGTGTTAATGATATTTCATGGAACAAACCGACCGCCCTTGTCCACTCTCCCCATGTCACATGTTTGTCTCAGCACCCTCCCATCCTTGTCTCGTATCTCGTATCTCGCACCCTCAGTCATCATCACTGAGGGGGGTCCCGGATAAGCTGGGTAAATAATGCACAAGCCCCCACCCTGTTGTGGTGTGGTCCTTGTTGTGAAATACTACTTTTTGGAAGATAAACACTATAGGCTTCTCCAATTTCTCCTATTTCTCCTATTTAGAGTATGCAAAAATCCTGATCTTGTCTTGTCTTTTGGAATTTCTCTTCCACTCTTGTTATCTACCATTTTGTCCAAGCTCATGATGGAAAAACTCAGGATGACCTGATATGATGCAGTTTTCCCAATTTTAGAACATTTGTTAGATAGGATTCTATGATATTTGTTAGGCCAATATCATAATCATAACTGCAAATGGATGTAATGATAATATAAACCAAGAATCCCATTTTACTCAATGTAAAACTCTTACAAAATTGGAGTAAGATAGCTGTAAAGAAAGAGCTATTTTAAGCCCCTTCACTCGGTGGATATTGAAAGCCAGTAGCAATTGGATATGAAAAAGCTGGATCGGTGCATCTCCAGGAGAGACATCAGCCAATGCAGCACTACTGTTATATAATGTTGGTACTGTATAATGACAGCTTCATCTACCGTACATAATAAACCCTTCAACAAATTAAGGTGTTATTTTCAGCTGTATAAAAATCAATTACATATCCGTTCATCATTTGCCATTTAGAGAACTACTGTCTATAGGGCGGCACGGTGGCTGAGTGGATAGCACTCTTGCTTCTCAGCAAAATGGTCCTGGGTTTGAATCCCGGTCGAAACAGGGCCTTTCTGAGTGGAGTTTGCATGTTCTCCCGTGTCTGCGTAGGGATCCTCCAGGTGCTCCGGTTACCCCTACCACTAAAAACATGCACAATAGGTATGAATGTAAATGAGAGAGTGAATGGATGGTGTTGATTGGGGGCTGATGCTCCAGTGTGTTCGGCGACTCGCTTCCGTCATCATTGTGTGTGGAATGATTGGAACAATATCTGAACTCTGAATATTGTACAGCGCTTTGGGTGACCTTGGTCTGTAAAATGCGCTATATAAATAAACATTACTTACTTTCCTTCACTTATTGAGTAATTGAGTATATATAGTCATTTTTGGTAGAGCTTGGTGTCTGTATGGAAATGTGAGATAACCTGTGTACCTCTCAAACAGTGTGTGTTTAGATTTGCCCGCACATGAACCGAAATGTGTATCCGTCTTTTGGCACATCTGCTCCGTGGGCTGCTCATCCCTCACAGATCAACACTCCAGGGACGAGAGGGGGAACTGCAAAACTATCTGATAATGAGCCTCCTCATTCACACCATGAGCAGATGCAGCTCCGCTATTGTCCTCCTTTCGCCTGTCTCCCGAGCCGACGCCAATTTATTGTTGTTTGTTTTAGCCCAAACAATAGAACTGATCAAATAGCGAGCATATATTTAGTACAATAGAAATGACTCATGGCTGGAAAAGGGAAGATGCTGCACGTTAGCAATATGTGTTACGTGTTTGTTTATATAAAGATAAATCTTATAGGGAGAACACCAATACAATGAGTCAAGAGCACATCCCTTTGTATGAAAGTAAGGACTAATAATATTATACTGTTTGCATAATAGGCTCTATATATTTTTTGTTTATTAGAAAGATAATTAGCAAAACAGGTCCAATAATGACTAGTTAGTAAAACAATCTGTTGATGCTTAGAACATGTACTGTATATGCAAGGAAAAGGAGGCATATTATTTAGATGATGAATATGTATGTATGAATATATTAAAAACATCCTTGGTTTTCTCGAAGAATCAAAACAATTGTTGTAGAATAAATGTAAATTGCTAGAGTTAGAAGGAGAGGTATATCATTTCTGTTTCGATAACAACAGCTCCAGCCCCAGGGGTTTCATTAGAGACAGTCAAATGTCAAATGAATACTCAACTAAGGAAAAGGAAAACAATTTTTACCATTTAACCGTGCAGTCCCTTTCTGTGACAATGACAATAAATGTAATCTTGAATCTAACTTCATTACTTTGTTCATATTCTCATTATTTAGATTATTTTTATAAGATAATATTTATATAAGATAAGAGATCCTTTATATATTCATTCTTTCATCTTTTTTTAATTGATTTTTTTTAACGTGTGAATAAAAGTGGCTTGTCAAATCACAAAGTGTCTGTATATAGTTTACAAGTTTTTCTTCTTCTCACTCCATTTCGAGCTCAGGAAACAAATTGTGTATAACTATGCATAATGTAAATATGTAAAGTTTGTTTTTTCTGTGCACAGGTGCATTAGTGATGTGGGTTGGATATTTGTTGGTGTGGTCTGTCCACTGGTGCACCATTGTGCTTTTGGATGCTTGTTGTGTGTACAAATGTACCGTTATAACCTCGGAAGGAACCAAAAAAAATATAAAAAATGATAATTAGATCAGCAAATTTCCAATGTGGTTTTTTACTGCAAATGGCAAATAAACTGAATCTGAATCTATTGTTTTGTCACATATATTAATATAACAGACAAATAAGCACATGGTTCGAAAAGGGCTCGGATTAAATTTGATTCTAACCATCATCACACACGCCACACAACACAAGGCTATAGTAATATCTTTGAAAACACAGTACATACAATAGTACAATACATTACCACAGGTACTATTACAGATAAAACCCACACACACACAGACAACATACAGGCCCAAAAACTCTCCGACCCTACACCTCTCTCCCAATACTTGCTCTGTGTTTCATGCAATACTCTTTCTTCCACAGTACTTCTCCAATGAATCAAGTTTGTGCATGTTTTCATCAGTGGGTAATCTAATTATCTAATCAAAATAATCAAAATATTCTTTCTCACAAAAATTACAACAGGAAACTTTGACAGCCGTATTAGTGAGTTAGCGGGACTGCGGCAGGCACAAGGGAGCAGTGTTGTTGGGCTCACCTGTCTCCAGTTGTCATAGATAACAATGGTGCTGTCCTCATCATCGACTGTGACTGTGCGCACATAACCTTCCCCTGGGAACGCACACACACAGCAGCGTTTTAAAGACTCTGGAGAAATGGCTTCTGCGATGGCTAAACCTCAGGCACAACACTATCACAGTATTAACCTTACATCCAAAATGGGGTGGAAGTTTTATACAACCAAGAAATATTCATTTAATGGGATAATTCCAGATTGTGTTATCCTTAGTCAATTGGTCCTTGTTATTAGATCTGCTTGACCATCCAGGCCCCTCTACTTTAAGATCAGAGAAATGTCTGTGTTGCAGCGTGCATACAGGTCAGTAGTAAGAGCACACGAGGAGCTCACAAAATATACAGAGATAAGTAGCTGCGTTATGGCATGTTCAATCACAGCTATTTCTCACGTATTTGAAAAAAAAAACCATACATTTATTGTAAGATCGTGTGGTTCAGGAAAGTCAGGCAATTATCGCATTTAGAGCACTTAACGCATATTGGAACCGAACCTCTGTAATGAAATCACTGCGGTCAACAAGGGTCAAATCTTACATACATACATATATTTCTTCATGCAAAGTTACATATCTGTGCTGAAAAGTGAGAAAGGACTGTGAGAGATATTGTACTAAAGCAGGTATTACAGTCTTTATAATTTCTTCAATAGCTTTCTCTTTTTTAAACCAAATTTGGATTTCACCAATACACATTGGGGCAATTTTGTGTCTCTCTACAAAACACATTGAGATGGTTTGAGTAGAAACCATTTGTTCCCATTGTATCTGTATTTGGGACAGTGCAAAGACGCTGTAGTCAAAAAAAATCTTTGTCAAAGGACGTGCCCATACACAATTAGTCAACTAAAAAAGTGGCGAGACAAAAAATCTCAAAACTGTGGATAATGAAACTGTAAACTTTAGGCCAGGAGAATTCAAACTTTTAACTAAGAGGACCACTTTAGTTCGCCAGACTACATCAGTGCTATAGACACATTTTTGTACCATAATGAAAAACAAATGTCAGTGCATACAAATAAATGGATTCAAAAGGCTCTGAGCTTTACAATGAGGTATAACATGCCTGTATTGGAGAAGCTGAAGTTGGCTGGATAACACTATGAACTTGTGTTTATGATGCCAATGGTATTTTGCGTTAGCAACGTTTAGGGCCACATAGAATGACACAGCGGGCGGCAATTGGCCCTTAGTTTGAACATATCTGCTTCAGGCATATAATCAGACACACAAAAATCACTACAACTGATAAACTTGCTGAAGATTAAAGAAAAATTCCAAAATCTTCATTGAATTTGCCCATAATTTTAGCTGTTTTCCCAAAGAAGTCCTTAGATAAAATCATTAGTCGACAAATACGATTTTTGGTCAACTAAGAAATCGACTGAAAGACTATATGTTTTTTACAGTGCGGCGTAGTTGTCAACATACAGTTTTAACAGGTTGTGTACCATCAGAATCCACCGATGCAGTCCTGTCCATGTCTCCAGCGAGGGCCATGGCCAGAGAGGACTTGCCGACTCCGTTTTGCCCGAGGAGAGCCACTCTGAGCGGGCCACACCGTCCCTCCACAGAGATGGTCAGAGTGTCTTCTAAAGCCGGGCTGAAGTGCACGGGGGAAACGGAGGGTCCCACTGCCCCCGAGGCCCAGTCCGCGTCATCGTGCACCGCCTCCCCACGTCTAAGCTGGTGCTTTAGGGGTAACGGGGTGCTTCCTCTGCGGACTGTCGGGGTGCTGGGCAGAGTCATGCCCTCACACTGCAGAGGGTGGGAGAGAAATTAAGATTAAGATTAAGAGATTCTTTATTTGTGGCACAGTGGGGACATTTCAGTGTTGCATTACTAGTTACAGAACAGTAGGAATGAGGAGCACACAGCACAAGATAGACCTCCTAGACAGACTTTAATGATCCACAAGGGAAATGGCATTATCACAGTAGCTCGCATAGTATTTAACAGTCATTTTTTTTTAAAGTAATAATCTGAAAATAATAATAATAACATAAGATAATATTGTGAGAAAAGCACAAGATAAGATTAATGATCACAGCTCTATACTAAATAACTCTATACTAAAATCTTTACTAAATAAAAAATAAAATGAAATCTCTAGCTTTAGCAAAATAAGAAAGCAGTCTATAATCAGTAACAAGAAGAAAGAATGAGGTATACAATCTCTGACTTTAGCATAATAAAGAAGCAAGTAAAAAATATTGTATATTCTAGTGCAGAAATATATAGTTTAATGTTTATATCTGTTCATGTTCAAAAACTTTTACTTATTGAAAGCCTTCGCAGCTGTTCTTTTATCTGTTGGTTCTTAAGCCTGACGCTGAAGGACAAAAACAAGTTGCAGAGATTGTAAAAAGTTGCTCTAAAATCACTTGAGGAAAACTTTGAGACCTTCAATCTTTGTGAGAGGAACAGGTGCAGAATAAAGTGTTTTCTGGCTCAGCCCAAATATCATTTATAAAACTGTCGAACTCTGGAGGAGGCGGTTTTTGACTTTTGGTGATTGATGTGTACTTTATTGCATTGTTTTACTTTATGTTGTAAGCTGCTGCTGCATGAACTGTGAACGACCTGACTCACTGTGTGTTTTTGTTTGTGTAATTTGAAGTGACTGCTGAAAATTCAGTTTTATGAATCTGAATATGAATCTGAAAAGAGAATAGCTCCAACAATAATAAAAGTCATCAATCTTAAAAGCAGCTGCAAGTGAATTCAATCATCAGCATTTCCCGTGGCAAAAAGAGACACGGGCAAAAAATATATGGGCAGTAACGTGGCATTAAAAACAAAAAAAAATGCTTAAAGCTGGGGTACCTAACTTTCAAACCACAACCATGGAACAATGAAAAAACTCTCAAAACAGTTGGGTTCTGTTGTAGCACAGTTTTCACATTTGTGTATTTTTGCCACTTCTTTATATCAGCTTTTTCAGACAGAAACGTGAAAAAGTCAATCATTTCTCAACCCAAAACTTGACACAGTGACTCAAAGGGCTCTCTCTGACCATTGTGCAAACGAAAACATTGTTAATATTTTCTAATGAGCTGAAGTTGAAGCATGTTGGCCTAATGTTTCAGACTCTCTCTGTAAGGACAAAGAAAGAAGGTACCCCAGCTTTAATTGTGCCCCATACAGGTCCCTGCACTGATCAATCAAGCCATCCGATTCATTCCTCTTTATAGTTTTTCTTAATTCGTGGATGCCATTCAATGTAGATTATGTATGACCTCGTAGACTCCTATAGGGACAACCAATCCCTGTGATTAACAAATTAGTCCCTGCCAGTGGAGAACAGCAGCCTAAAATTTCCAACTCCCAACACATCAGTCAAAGAGGGGAATAGTTGTGGAAGTGCATTTTAACACTTTTTATTGACAATAAATAGTTACATCATGACACATTTTTCATTTTGCCATCTGGATTTAGCAGGTTACTGAGTCATCTTCTTGTACAAAGATTTTGTCAGTCAAGAGGAGAACCCCCTCCCCTCCAGCCGGGTTTCTTTTGTGATTATGAAGCCACTTTGGGATTAATAGAAATATTCTGTCATATACATTTTACACCATTAGTGTCTAACCCTACACCTTCGGATATGTATTACCCTCACTCTAGAATATGCAATAGTATATTATTATAGCCTGTTGTTAATTTTATCATTAACTTTGGATGGGAGGGGGTTCCTCAAGGTGTAATATGTGTTTTAAGACTAATGCAATAATGTCATGTCAGTTTGTCCACAATGAACTATAAGGCATTACTAAACACACGAATACAACATAACAGCAGCTTGAGAGACAGTTAGATCTGACACATAAATCAATGTTCAAGACAGTTATCCTATCTTACCTTTGTGATCTCCTCATGGGGGCTGAGTCTGTCTTCCTCTGGCGCATCTGTCGGCATTTGATAAGTCAAATTGAGGAAGTAGACCTCCTGGAAAAAAAAAATCCCACAGCGGAAAAATGGGAGAGAGACAGAGAATAGAGAAGAGAGGAAAGGGGGGACAGACCATAGAACTATCAGAGAGAGTATCGGGAAAACCGGGATAATCCGTACCTCCCACACTTGACGTCTATCAGCCCCACCCACTCACTTTGAAGACCCGGGCGCCATGCTGCTCACCTGTGGAGCTCGGGAAATACCATCGAGTGTGTAGAAAAATACACTAGTAAGAGACGCGCTTTCCTCCTTGTCCCTCCCTTCTCTCTCCTCTTCTTCGCCCGCTTTCTCTCTTTTCTCCACGCCTCTTCTCAACCATTATTTCTAGCCTTGAAATAGGAGTAGTAGTTGTCTGGCATGGAAACATAGTTTTTCCCTTGTTAAGTTTTATTCTACCAGGAAAAGCATATGACATTTGATTTTTGCACAGTTCTTACTATGGCTGCATCCGGTTTATAAAACATCAGAGTAACTCCTTCCTTAAGCGTCTCTGTGTTTCCTTCTCCTTTTCACAGTATTTTGTTGCATTGAAGGGGTATTTAAAAAGTTTCAATATGGTTTTAACTTAAACTCGAATATATCTGTTGCTATCTTGTCTCAGAAAAAAGTAGGAGGTATGTCAATATGAATTTGGATGTAGCCTATCCGTGGCCTGATACTCTTTGGATAGCCATACCCCCAATAAGCACTAGGGCGCAGTATAACACAACCCTTTCAGTCACTAATTGGTGTTTTTTTATAGGTAGAAAGGATGCCCTTTGAGGATAATTGTTATTATGTGCCACTTGTGTATTCCTATAAAAATAGATGCTACAGCCCCACCTGCTCTCTTTGTCTGAGTAACACTTTCATCTCTTTACCATCATAATATTTACAACTGTTCTTTCGGCCGGCTACATGTAACACAACCATGTCCTTTTTCTACTTGCAGATTCATTTGTGCATGTTTTCTGTGAGTGGATGAGAGTGGTCGTGAGCAGAGAGAGCAGCATTGGTTGGGTTCCACCCACACAAAGCTACAATACACTCCGGCAGTGCGCAGCCTGGACGCTATTATTGCCCTAATCCTGCTCCATTATATCAGTGTGGAGAGAGACAGAGAGAGAGAGAGGTAAAGCTGGACATGAGCTCATCCCAAACAGCCCACACCCAGGGTCACTGCTTCACTATAGGAGAGGGACCCACAGATAAATGCAGATAATAAGCACAGAAGCGTGTCGTGTTGTCAGAAAGCGAGCGGAAGACTAAAAATGTCATGTTGAATGAATAGTAACCAGGCTAGAGGTCAACACCTTTCGAACCAGGTTGAACAAAGCACTCAGGAGCCACATGGGGGGGTTGGTAAAGTACTGTTTATTTCATATACCACACTACAAGAGAAGCCTCAGAGGGTCCATTGTGTTAACCTAATAATCAACTGTAAGAATGTAAAAATACACTCGAGTAGCGAAATAAAATCAGTCCAATTATCAGAGTTGTACACGTACAAATAATAAATACTGAATAAATAAGTAAATAAATAAAAGAACAATGTACTGAACCTACACCCAAACAAAATAAATATCTCTAGTGGTGTAACCCCTGTAAAGAGGGAGCATTTATTTTTGCATTAGTTTCCCTGCATCCACAGTGCTCAGTCCACAGTGACCCGCTCTGTGCTGCACAGTGCTTACAATCGGTGGTAACGCCTCATTTTGCTTGTTTTCTGTGGACACGACGACCACTTAGCTTTGCATTTTTTGTTTCCTTTCCCAGCAATTGGTATAGTTGAGCGGACAACCATCACCACTTCAAGCAAGCAAGTCACCAACTTGTAAAAGGTACTTGATAATGGTTTGTACTACACCAAATCAGTATCCTTTCACTTTTGTAGCACAGTCACTGGGGGCCCCCTGAAAAGGTCCTTATACATTCTTATCTATGATTATTCTTACAAAGAAGAATAAATCCTGGTGAGCTTCAACATGTTTTTTGTAGGCAACTGTGAAATGTTAGCTGGCAAATACAACTGCACGATGTGGATACAAGCCCAGATACCACCCCACATCAGCATCACTGCACCACTAAGACCTCAGAGCGTTAGCAGCTTATTGGAAAAACAAAACTACACTTTGAAACCAGGCCTCTCACTTATCAGGCGAGACACTAAAGGTAAAATGGTATTTCATCAATGGCCATTTGCCTTCTGCTTTTAAAACATTTGACTTTGCACTGGATAAGATGCTCATGAAAGAACCAACTCCATACTTCCACTTTAAAACAAATTGAATTCTCCAGAAGTGTCACGCCATAAGTGTAGCATTTAAGTGCATTTCATCTCTATATTGCATAGATACTATGGACCAGTACAATGATGTACTTGTTAAAACAAGATAAATCCATTATAGGATCGTCATCATTTACAAGTATCACCAAATGTGCAACCGACATTCACAGTGAAGTAAGTTCAATAAGCCTATAGCCAAGTCTTTATCAGTCCATAGCTCAGACTACTCACTCGAGGTGCTTCTCTCAGTTGTGACTTGCCAGTGTATCTTTTGGACAGACACACGCTGGATTTCCCTTCATACTGTAGGTTGTGTTCACATGATGGTATTTGTTCATAAAGACTTCGAAGGATGACGAATCCTGCGGCCTGATTGTCTGAGAAGAGTGCGCCAGTTTGGTTTTGTGAGGTCCATTGATTACTTAATCATGGCAGCGGGGGGCAAGTTGTATACCATAGCAAAGAATGTCCTTCCACCACAGTATGAAAGTGGAATATTGCGATGTCACGTGAACACAACCTCACCAGAGTGAGTTGGCTGGTCCTGGCTCTCCTCTCGGTGTGTGGGTTGAGCTCAGAGGAAGTAATCCGGAGGAGGTGAGGGGGGGTTACTGCTGCTGTGGGTGGAGCCCAGGAGCTTCTCGTATCGAGCTTTGTAGGTGTCCCTCTCCCTCAGGACCCGGGTTAGCTCACACTGGAGCTGCTCCAGCTGCAGAGAAGACACAAGGTTACTGTGTGGACCATGGACAGTGTTAAGTGTGAGATGTGGGGATCTATTGGTTTGTATACAGCTCAGAACCTGCACAGGGGTACTGTAAGTGAAGTGAAACCAAAATGGTGACTGGACATTTGCTATAGTACTTCTTGATTATATGTATTCAAATGGGATCATCAACCCTAACCCATTATAAGTTAGAATTAATTTCCAGTGATTCTTGTGTCAAACCTTCATGATTTCAGTTACATATTCTTTCTTTTATAATCTTGTATTCGGCAGGATTCTTAGTGAAGGACTTTAGTAAAAAGAAAGATTCAAAGAGACAGAGACACAGTTAGATAATGAGTTGTATTTGAATGTCACGTCTTATTTACCAGCATGTCCTTGACCGCAGGGTTATTTTAGGTACACAATCCTACATGTGAAGCTTAATATGAGGGTTATTATGATTAGGCCTGAGGGTAAGAACAAGCTTCACAGGTAATAAGATGAAACATTAAGCTTGTGAGTGTGATCCGTCCATGTGGCTATTAAGATGTCTGAATACATTTAACCATGTGTTTGTTTGTGAAAATGTTCAGCTGCAGTAATGTGTCGAGGTTCAATGTTACGTTGTGGATTTGAGCTTGTCTGATTTTCTCTTAAATATTAATATTTCAATTCAATTAATGTGCCTACATATAAAACAGGCTGTCAGGCTTAAAATGTGTGATTGTTTTCAAAGATATTTTTCTGGGTTTGTTCAATTGCATATTTCAATTATTTATGATAATGAATTTGCAATGTAGTCATCGCCATTTTTGTATGTGCTAGTTATTCTTCTGAAAAGTGCTGGAGATAAAACGACTAAACTACTGTATAGTCCCTAATAAGTAATTGAGATTTTGAGGCTGATATTAGAGGATCACTGCCTCATCAGGCAGTTGCACAATTTAGTTGCATCAATTATTTGGATAATTTGTATAATTTCTCAAAACCACATGATAATAATAACAATACTGCATCACACTATACTTATTCCACACAGAGTTGTTTCTATGTGGTGCCAGACTGCATTGAGACGAAGATACTGATTCTTAACTATGAATCAAACATTACTGGGGGAAAAAAAAATCATATACTGGTCTGCTCCTGCTTGGTTGGAATGAAAACCTGCAGTCACATGGCCCTTTTGAGGACTGAGTTGAATAGCCTTAGTCTCTTGATTATTACTCACAGTCCAGCACAGGATTCTGTACTTGTCTATTTCAGCTAAAGAAGGTCAAAGTCCCTCTGACGTTCCCCTTTATGGGCCTATACATCCTGACGTGGTTGTACCTGTTGCGAGAGCACATGCTTCTCCGACTCCAGCGCGTGCCGATGCTGCAGCCGTTTGTAGCGGCAGGATTGAGCGTAGCCGCGGTTCTTCAGCGTGCGCCGCTTCTGCTTCAGTCGCACCACCTCCTCTTTACTGACACCACGCAGGTGTCTGTTTAGCTCCCGCACAGACAGACTCACCAGCTGCTCATCGGAGAAGCGATCGTTCACCGCGCACTGTAACAGATGGAGTGAAAATATGCTGTTTGTTAATGGGGATGTGCCAAGCAACGTGACAGGCTCCTGGTGTTGAAATCAAGGCCTGTATATATGTATTTACCTATTTATACCCAGGATTCTCATACAGATTGGAACTATAGAACTATAGAATGACTTCAATGACTTTTCCATCACTTCTCAAACCATGGACTTCAACGACCTACTCAGACGTTTCGGTTAACAAGTCAATTGTCAGACAATTCATAGTGAATGCTGTGAATGCCTTCAAAAACATTCAAATGCTCATTTTCAATCTATTCCGCAATAAAATGTTAAGTGATCTAGCACACACAATTACCACTCTGTGATATAGATTCTGGGAGATGTACCATAAATTGTGAAGGGCTGTGTGATTTCCATCCCTACTTTCATAGACAAACTTGGAGGTAGGTTGACTAAAAACCACTGCTTACTGACCAATATTTTTACCTTTGCCAGAGGGTTATGCTTGGACGCAGGTTTGTTTGAGCAGATAAAAAAAAAAAAAAAAGGAAGGAAGTATTCAGGTAGATTTTGTAGGTAATCCGGATCAACATCTGGATGCAGATTTTTTTTAAGAAATGGAACTGTATAAAAGCACTAAAGATGTATGTATTTTTCTACATTGATTTGCGTGTGTTTGTCTTGTTTTTAGATTGGTTTGGTCGACGTCTCATTGTAAAGATTAATCGTTTATTGTGAAAGCATTAGGTATAAATAATCAATATACATGAAGTGAATGTTGCATTTATGATTTACAGGACGTGTGTGACTGTCCGTGTGTCAGGGGCCACATTGGAGACAACACATGTCCATAATCTGCACTGTAATCTGACTAAGTGTGGGTGACAGTTATCAGGATTACACACAGCAATAATAGCAGATATTATCATAATCTCATCCACTGTTCACACTGTGAGACATCCCATTGTACCCACCATTATTCAAAATGTTTAATTAAAACCATACAAAAGGTTCCCAAAAGACTGTCAATTGTCCGGGAATTAAGAAGTACACTTCAATAGAAGAGCGTTGGATGAGGTAATGGCCTTTATTAACTGTTTCCCAGTTTGCTTCAAAGATTAATGTTCGACAATGTACCTAATCCTAAAAGCCCAGTTGAATTATGTTCAAATAAACGTGATTAGACAAAGGGGAGTTTTATCTCCTCTTGTATCTTTTCTACACGCACATGGTATCCTATCCGCACTAACTTCTGTAAAAGTAATTAATGTTTTTTTTTTTTGGACTTTGTTTGTGGTCAGTGATGTTATTGGTTTGTACCTGGCCGAGTTGCAGATGGTGCTGATGGTGATGGTGCATGGGATGGTGGTGATGGTGTAGTCTGGCCTGTGGACTGAGGGGCTGGGGGTATGGTGCTGTCCCGGGTCCTGCCCCACTGAGTGACTGAGGGGTTGAGGAGAGGAAGACTAGTGGCCGGTGGGACATGTCCGCCCCTTTACCACAGGACATGTCTGCTCCACTGTCACTGCTGGAGTCGCCCATGTTACTGCTGGAGCTCTGAGACAGGCCTGGGAACTGAAACACACATGTTCACGGTCAAGCATATGCAATTACTCTTGATGATAATGACATAGAGCCTTGCCTTGGAGGGACCATAATTCAGACATGGTGAATTGGAATAGTATTTCTTTACCTGTGAGCTGACTGCTGCAGCTGCAGAGTTGAGCAGAGCCTCCACGGCATCCTCACATCCCAGAAAACCATTGACGGGTCCTCGCTCCCTGTCCCCTCGCTCTGGGACTCCCCCGAGGGCCCCCAGCAGGGTGGCAGGTCCAGTCACCTCTCCCCCAAACTGCTGCTGCAGCGCTGCCAGCCAGATGAGGTCCTCCAGAGACGCTGGAGTGGGACCCTGAGCCCCCCCATGGGTGGGGCTGTCCTCCACAGTGCCTTGAGCCACTGAACCCAGGCCTGATGAGAAGCCACTGGACAGAGACAGAGGGAAGGAGATGGAGGAGGATGAGGAGGACAGAGAGGAGGCTCCGGAGGGCGGCGGGTGGACATCACTTAACGTGGGCGAGGGGGGCAGAGAGTTATATGGACTAGAGTTGAGACTGGAGTCCTGTGCAGGGTTCCCTGTGTACGGTGAGCTGGAGGGGTCATGGGACAGGTCTGACTTTGAGTAGGAGCATTGAGAAGGCAGAGGCGGAGTGTCCGGTTTCACCTCAAACTTGAGCAGGTCAAAGTCATTGAGGTACTCCATAGCCAGGGGGCTAGGGGGCAGAGAGGTCATGGGCAGCGTGGGGGACGACATGATGCCTCAGGATCAACAGCAGGTCCAGTCCTCTGCCTCAGTGTGGCTCATAGACACTCTGATCAGTGATCAGCCTGTGCCCTGGGCTTTTCTCTCCTAAAGCTGAGCAAAGAACAATGTTACAACTATGTTTAACCAAAACTGTCACAATGGATAAAGACAACTTAAGAGAACTTAAGTCAAAGTTTTAGACAGTTTTTGTTTAGAAAGACTTTGACACTTTCAACCCGAAGGCTTTAGTTACATGTTTGTAATTTTGTATTGAACGATTAGACCAGTAATGTTGGTGCAATAGTAAATCAGAATGCAGTTATTTGGAAACACACACTCAACACATCCCCCACTAATGGTCCACGTGGCTTTGGATGACACGACAATCACCTCCGAGCACGTCCAGCACGGCACACAATGGCCTGTATCTCACACAGTCTACTTATAACAAATTAAGGATGAAAGGAGGTTCATACAAATAATGTTTAGTTTATGGATGTTAAGTTGCATCTGTGATACCTCTCAATACACATTTTTAAAGCATATGCAGTTTTTATCTGATTATTCAGGAAATGAATGAATGAATAAATATATAAGGAATATCTATTGAAATATAATTCACAAAAAGTTATAATGATAATCATAAAGATGACTTAATGTTTTTTCTCTACACGTAAACTGTTCTCTACATGTAAACTGCTTTGAGTGAAGTATATGTTCAACGAGGTGAAATATTGTTCAATTGATTATTTCCTTGTAAAGACACCAAAATATTCCAAAATAAAGACTTATAGGGTATTATTTAACATAACAAAATAACATTTAGCTTTAGCTAAACTTTGGTGTCTTTTACATAACCACCATTACTCCTATGAAGAGCAAACACTTTAGTTGTTTACACATACACCCCAAACCAATAGTTGTGTATGTGTTTTTTGTTAGAACTAAACGATTTTTACTGTGTGAACTGCATCAAAGAAAGACGTAGAAGCGCCGAGTCCTTTCCTCCGACAATACTAATTTCATCCTTTCACATTTAATGTTTACCATATAGAAGCTTGTAATAAAAAAAACACCTTTGACTATAGTAGCCCCGCTTGACTTCAGCTTATTAGTTTTGCTCCCAGTACTTTCAAATGGACTGTAAAAGGCAAAGCAAACGGCTGCGGTAGAGGCCTCCAGTCTGAACCGGGCAAAAAGCCAGCCCCAAAAAAACGAACCACACTTTGAGAAATTAAAGTGGAAATACAGTAATAAAGTTTGTTAATGTAGAAAAGTGCTCTTACCATTTCTCATAAAGATCGAGGCTGGTGGTCCGGTCGAACGCCCCTCACACACAGGGCTGTAATGCGGAGGCTGCTGTGGGTCTATGAGAGTGCTGCTCCGATACCACTGCCCCCTCTATACAAATCCCCCGTACGCACACCCCCCCCCCCCCCCCCCCGGCTCCCATGGTCCAGAGGCATGTCCACCAACAATGTCCCGACCTGTCATGCCCCCAATAACTACATTGCTTCTGTCTGAAAGCTATTTGTCACATTTTGATGCCTTGGAGTCTTCATCACAAACCTAACAACATACAAATGTGTTTCTACCTGTTGAGATTATAGTGGAAAAGGCATCGGGGAAAAAAATTAAACATTAAAATAATAATAATTAAAAATAAACACTTGTAAAGAAAGAGTTGAAATATATGAATTTGAGTTACAGTTTGTAGATGACTGATTGAATATAAAGTTATTATCTGTGGTACATTGACTCCTTTATGGGGGGTATCATATGCACTTCTTGAATTTAATATATTCATTATTGAATTTCTCTCTTCCTCATTAGAACAATGAAAAACATGTAATGATTATTAAGATTTTGTTTAGCCTCATCTCGACCCGGAAAGGTCCTGTATAAGAGGTTTGGTGGCACTGGGGAGTGTTGTCTTTGTTGGTTCTGAATGTGAAAACCATAAAAAAAAAAAAAAAAAAATAATAATAATTTTAAAAATATCTTTATTATTTAATAATTTTTCTTTTTTTTTGTACAGTGCAATTTATACACACACAATTCCAAGTGGGGGAGATTTGGTTTAATGCAGTTTTAGTGGCAGCAATACAAAAAAACTGGTATATTTATTTTTATTAGAAAAATAAATTATTAATTCATAATAAATAATTCACAATAAAAAATAAAATAAATGCATATCAAAGACTAATTACATTTCTATTAAAAAGACAAATTACATTTCTATTAAAAACACAGATAAAATCAGTTGGATTTACATTTCCTAAGTATAATTTTAGTTTTGACTCTTGTTTGTAGATGCTACATGTAGTTCTGTCTTACTAATGACTCCTGCTGTATTCTACCTGTCGGTTGTGATTAGTTGTTTGCACGTGTTGCGTTGTTTTTTGTCACAGCAGAGGCTCGGGTTAGCTGGCTGTCGACCTCATTCACGTCACAGTGGGTGTATTCAATCTGTTTTTAAGTCAGGCAAAGAATCGCACAACAAGCACTTCTCAATACTCCTCAAAAGATAAACTTGTTAATCCGTGTCTTTGTGTGTCTTAATATGGTGTCTCGTTGAGGAATCAGTGAGTTAAGAAATCTGATTTAAGGTGTAAACAAAACCACTAAGGCGCTGACGCAGGCAATTGCATTAAAGTCCCAAGGATTTAGGAAAAACTGGGGAAAGATGTAATCAAGACGGGTGGAAAATCTAAATGAGTAAATACTTTTTGACGTCTGCTTGTCACATTAAGTTTGCTCTTTTCAGTTTGAAACAAAACCTTATTATTACAAGTTTATTGACTTTTTTCAATTTCTGATATAAAGACTTGTAGTTAGTTATTTATTGTTTTCTAATTTTGTGTTAGTCTGGTGGAATGATGCATGTTTTATTTGTAGGAGTTTTGATCTAGTTTTGGTATTTTTCATAATAATAATGCATTGGTTTTATATAGCGCTTTTTTGGACACTCAAAGACACTTTACATGTCATTATTCATTCACTGCATACACAGTGGGGATAAACTACTACTGTAGCCACAGCTGCCCTGGGGCACACTGACAGAAGCGAGGCAACCAGTATGTGCCATCGGCCCCTCCGACCACCACCAACCATTCACACACATACACCAGTGTCATTCTAGGCAATTGGGGTGAAGTGTCTTGCCTGAGGACACAACAGCAGTTTGGCACTTTACAGCCACAGCCGCCCCACTGGTGTTCCCAGAGGTTAAGTGTCTTGCCAAGGACACAACGACAGCAGACATCAGTGGAAGTTGGTGGAGAAAGTCTTGTGGTGGGCTTGAACCCACGACCTTCAGGCTCAAAGGCCAATGCCCTACCAACTGAGCTACTTTAAATAAATACTTTATATGTTTATGCTTTTTCATTAGGTTAAGTTAAAGATTTATTTTATCAAGTATAGAGTTGGGTGACTTAATATTCACTTATTCTTACTCTTATCTTGTGTTGTGTCCTCATCCCTACCGTTTTGTAACATCACTGTCATTTCTGCACTGTGAGACCATAGACTGTATTTATTAATGGACAAAGTCACACCTATCTCCACGGTTGAAACTAATTTGCCACCACTTTGCCTTCTATGGGTTTTTTTCAAAATGGCCGCAGGGCAGGTATATGTAAAAAAAGCATTTACAAGAATTGATTTGCCATTTGCAGTAAAACCACATTGGAAAAACTGTGCAAGACTACCCCAGTGTGCACCATGCGCATTAGGTAATTCTTATTCCGGGTCCACCCCCACCGGCCCGGAGTGAGTTTGCTAGCATGTCAGCGCTTGTGCTCATGGACCTTTTGCACCCGGGAGCCCCCACTGTGTGTGGGACGCATAAAGAATCTCTTAATCTGAATCTAGTTTGATAGATAACATTTTTGTCGTATTTTGCAACCTGTAAGTTAAAGGGTATGATATCACTATGGTGAAACAAAATGTTATAGATCTTAAAACTGTAAAATGTCAATTCATGTTTATTCTATGTAATATAATGTTCCTTTATTACAGTTTTGGTTTAGTTTAGTTTAGTTTTAAATCATTATTGACCTTTCAGATGTTTGAAAGATGTCATATAGGTTATCCCTATCCCCATATCACAGACAGAAACATAAATACCTCATAAGGATATAATAGAGTTATCTGCAACAAACGGACAAAGTTGATTTTATGCATTGCATTCATTGCAGTCACTGTATCAACAAAGATACAGTGACTTTCTTTTTAAACCTGTAAAACTGATTATAATCAATAGTGATATTAATAAACACACACGTCTCTCAAAGCGCCACAAAGAGACCACTATTCATCCACACTCAGTAGTGACCATTATCAATCACTCACCAGTCATACAGTTGCTTGTTTTGGGTGGTGGTGGAAACCGGAGCGCCCGGAGGAAATCCACCCAAAAATAGGGAAAATAATATAAACTCCACACAAAAGGCCCTAGTCAGGGGTGGACCTTCCTGAGTATTCTCTTAAATAACTGACCTTGGGGAATTGGAATTCTAAAAACATTTGCTTCCTTTAACCCCTTTAATCACTGGTCTGAAGACCAGTGCAGAGGAATAAAACTGTTTTATTATCGTTTGAAGCCATGAAGCCATGAAGCAGGTGGACACATGTGTACTCAAACATGCAAGAATCACTTAAAAAGGACCTAATCTTATTTTGTTGGTATATTGTGGTCTTTTTTGTGTTAAATAAAACTCATTTTGACAGATAGTTTCACCCTTAGCGGTTTCTATCAATAATGATCATGCAAAAAGTAATTCGCGGAAAAATTGCAAAGACCGGAAGTGACGTACACATAGGTGTCATTGGGCTTTGTTGATATGCATTTGTAAGCCATAACGTTGTATACGGACGTTTTAAACAGATATTTGTTATTCAGTGATGGACAATACAAGTCAGGGGTTTCATTTAGTAATTCTGATTTTGAGGACTCTGACTCAGTTCAGATGAGGAGCAATCTGCAAGAAATGAACATTTGCGGACAT